CTCTTTTCTTACCTCAGAGCCCGACAATAATGTACCATTGAGCACATGGCCGAAATTTCCGAGATAATAGGAAAACAACTCACCCACAAAAAACACAACGCCACGCCCAAAAAAAGAAGGGCCACGAAGAATACATGGAACAGCAAGCTTGGGTTCATAGCGTCTTTTCTAGGGAAGTTTCGGTGTGCCAACTTTTGGGGCCTTCGTCACCAATGCTGGTATTTCAGTGTCAGGCCACACGTCCCAGTTCAAAAGAATTTCTTAAAAAAGAAAAACAAACAACATGCAAGAAAAAAACCAAGGGGTCAACATTTATACGAAGGGAAAAGGTTAAAAAAGAGAAGCGACAGCGAAGGTCTAAACAGGGATGCTGGACATGTCGGCTACGTCATAAAGCTTGTCCTGAAGATGGTGATCCATGTGGAGCGTGTGCCCGTTTAGGATTGGAGTGCGATGTTTCGCGTCAAAGGCCAAGTTATATGGTGGATGCGCAGAACGCCATGCACCGTTTGAAGGAGATAAGAGCAGTAACAGATAAGCTCAGAAAAAACCGCTTTTACAATTGAAGCTCGATTATGCAATAATTTTTTGCAACTACAGGTACTCCGGTGTATAACTTCTTTTACAGGTATTATCGACGGCGGAGTTACTCGTATGATTGGCGAACGCCCGAGTATTCTACGCAGAATGCAAATCCCTCGAATATCACTGATCCTGTACATCCCTGTGCTGGTTTTTTTTCTAGCGTGTCACGTCTAAATCGTGGAAGAACCGTGTTATTTTTTCCTCCTTTCGAAAGAAGTCGTTTTGGGCCCAATGAAGACCTATATTTGGACATTGATTCTGAGCCTCTTGTTATGGACGGGCTTGGTCTCGGCATTTTATTTGCCTGGTGTAGCTCCAACAAACTACGCCGAAGGTGATTCCATCAAATTATTCGTAAACCATTTGACCCCCTCCTCGAATCATATGGCCAGTTTCAAATCGAAGGGAAAGTCCAAGGTCACAGTTTATTCTTACGACTACTATTACCCAAAGTTCAAGTTTTGTAAACCCAAGGATGGTCCTAAAAAGCAACTGGAGTCTTTGGGTGCCATTATCTTTGGTGATCGTATTTTTGACTCTCCATTTGAGATTAACATGTTGAAAGAGGTCAATTGCCAAGCTCTTTGCCTGTCTCCTTATTCCAAAGTGGATTCAGTTTTTGTGAATAGAAACATTCGTGCTGGATATTCCCATAATTGGATTGTTGATGGCTTACCCGCGGCTAGACACGTTACCGAAAGAAGAACAAACACCGATTTTTACAGTCCTGGCTTCCCCATCGGAAGTGTTGATGACGAAGAACAGCCCCATTTACACAATCACTACATCATTCACATCGAGTATCACAAGAGAAATGAAAATAACTTCAGAGTCGTTGGAGTAGTTGTGGAAGCCGCCTCTCTTGATAGAAATGGAATCGATGAATCCAAAGCAAGCCCCGAACAGTTGTGTGACGCTGATTTGCCTCCTGTGACTTTGTCGAATGTGAAGGATAGCAATGTGTTGTTTACATACTCGGTCAAGTTTGTTGAGTCTGAGACCGCTTGGGCTACGAGATGGGACAAGTACTTGCATGTATACGACCCAAAAATCCAATGGGTCTCTTTGATTAATTTCTCGGTAGTTGTTGTGATTTTGGCCATAATCATGGCTCATATTTTGGTATCAACTTTGAAGAATGACATCATCAAGTACAATGAAATCAATTTGGATGATGATGTTGCCTACGAGAGTGGTTGGAAATTGGCGTACGGCGATGTCTTCAGATCCCCATCCAATAGGATGCTTTTATCAGTCTTAGTGGGATCTGGTACCCAGATTTTCTGCATGATTCTTGTCACGATTGTTTTCGCATTATTCGGTCTCTTATCCCCCTCGAACAGAGGTGCATTATCGACATTCATGTTCATCTTGTTCATCTTTTTTGGTATCATCTCATCATATGTCAGTGGATATATCTACAGATTCTTCGGTGGCGAGAATTGGAAGCTTAACTTAATCTTGACTCCTACCGTTGTACCAGGAATTCTCTTCGGTGTCTTTGCATTCTTGAACTTTTTCTTGATACATGTCAACTCATCGGGTGCTATTCCAGTGGGAACCATGGCTGCAATTATTGTGATCTGGTTCTTGATTTCCCTTCCCTTGTCTGTCGTCGGATCTATTTGGCAATCAAAACGCTCTACATTGTCGGTTCCAGTGAGAACAAATCAAATCCCAAGACAGATCCCCCCACAACATTGGTATTTGAGAACTGTCCCAGCAATGATTATGTGTGGTCTTTTTCCTTTCGGATCTATTGCCGTTGAGTTGTATTTTATTTATTCGTCGCTCTGGTTCAACCGCATTTACTACATGTTTGGGTTCTTGTTTTTCTGTTTTGTTTTGATGGTTTTGACGACGGGGTTGATCTCTGTCTTGTCCATTTACTATACGTTGTGTAGTGAGAACTACAAATGGCAATGGAAATCTATTTTTGTCGGTGGTGGATGTTCTTTGTATGTCTTCGTGCATTCTTTGTTCTTCATTGGCGACGAGGCATTTGCCAATTTCACATCTTTAGTATTATTTGTGGGATATTCGGGTGTGATATCGTTCTTGGTCTTTTTGGTTTGCGGAGCTGTTGGATTTTTGAGTAATTTGTTTTTCGTTAGAAAAATTTACTCACAAATTAAGATAGACTAATTTGGCGTGAGTTGAATGGCCTTGTAATTTACAGATAGGACGCAAAAAATTGAGTCATTTATTTTGTCGTAAAATGGGGTCAGCCTTGTGTGAAGTGAACTAAGTTAAAGTATGTTCAATAGTGGTTTGTTAAATCTGCATCTTTAATCTCATAGCCACCCATCCATGTCTTCAGAGTAAACTAGTGACTTCGATGTCTTCAAAAAATCATCTCTCCAAGTCTCAATACTTTTTTTATCAGCTTTATTAAGCTGAATGCTAATAGTATTTCGAAATGTGAGGTCGTATATCTCAAGCTTTCTGGAAATAATTTGAGCCGTCATCACTCCAGGTCCACATGCTACCAGATGAACTGAAGATACAGATTCATTACCTGTCGAACTGATATTGAGTTTGGTGCTCAATAACGTGGTGGCATGAGACAAGTCCTTGATGATCTTTATACATCTGCTTATGATTTCGTTGTCACCAGCATTCTCGACTAGAGATTCCAAGAATTCCTTGCTAATCTTGATTAGTCTGAAAGATTGGCCGAAGCTTATGTTGAAGAAAGGACTGATTTGATCAATCTCACCATGCGATGACAGTTGTGATTCATTATTGGATACGTGTCTGGCGAAGTTCAAGATAGACTGAGATAATTTTTTCACCAATCTGCTAGTCTTAAGCTGGTAATCTTGTATGTGATCCTTAGTATATTCGTCTTCATAATCAATTCTCAGATGATTCTCGAAAAAACTGCAAATCTCAGAGGCAAAATCAAAAAGTTCGTACTTATCCTTTTGCAAAGAAAAGAGTATCAGGGCTGAGCTTGAATTTGAAAATCTTTCTCCCAAAGAAGACACACTTGGGCTTTTCTTGCTTCGAGGCCTCTCAAAGAACATCTCTTCGCATTTCATGTCCTCCAACATTCCGAACAAGTTTCCAAGCTCCACATTTTCCAAGAACTGTAAATTAAATTGCTTCTGAGGAAAGGTGGGAGTCAATGACGCAAGCAAGAAATTTGAGTATTTAGGGACTTGAGACTGGGTGCCCCAAGCCAACGCATGACAATCATCGATGATTCGCAAGCACAAATACAAACGTGGTAAATACAATTGAATATCATCTCGATGAAGCTCTTGGATTCGGGATGGCGATAAATGTTTAAACGTTTGTAAAACCTTGAAATCAGTGAATGCGCCATGAGCAAGAGAAATCCCTGTAGGACAAGAATCGCCACGCAACAAGATCGTTAAATTGATCAAAAGCAAGCCAGCGAACATCAAATGAATAACCTCATTTCTGCAAGGAATATCAGAAGAATCAAATGGATATATGCTGGTGAAATGAAGAAGCAGACTCCTCACTGCATCAAAGGGTATCAGCTGATGGTGAACAAGATTGTCCAAGGCGAGTGAGAAAAATTGTATGATTTGGGAATGTGTTAAGGAAGAGTTTTGCAATTCGGTGATGATTTTAAGGTATTCTGACCCATCAGAGAGAAGGATGGGGAAAGCAGAATGGACACCTCGATAATATTCCTTGAGGTTATAGTCTAAATATCCAGTTGCTTTGCACGCGTTTATTGGCGTCGAGGAAGAGGGTAGGTATGGGTTGGAATTGGGTTGAGCCTGAATGGGAAAAGTAGGTGATTTAAAGTTCAGGGCTCCTTGCTGCAGTGGTGGCTGCAGTGGATAAGAAAAGAATTGAGCATGTGGGGGTAAAAGCAATTGAGAACTATGCTCATTTTTTGATGTTTTCGCATGCTGAACTTGCGGGAAGTTTAGTTCTGACTGCGAAATATTTGGAGTATTAGCGGCTCTTCCATTCAACAGCAGCATTGAGCTAATCGAGTTGCGGCGGGAGGGAGCCTCTGACCGACCAGAGTCCGTATCTTCCACCTCCGAAAAATACGACCCAGCTTGAAATGATGGAGGTCTTGAAGTCGATCGCGATGTCGGGGTCGAAGTCACAGAATCGATAGATGACCTTCTGCTATCAAAACTGCCAATGTTGGATCCGCTCGGAGAAGAGGCGAGAGAACGCGGTGTGCCAGAAACAGGCATTTCATAAGGCACTTTCCACAATGGTCCTTGGATACGGTGATTTGGGTTTTCGCCAGGGTTGGTGTTGTGAATGGCGTTCGGTAGGTTGGGAATGGGGGCGCCGTTAGTTTGCGGACTCACAGTAACGGAGTACTTTGGGATTGGCAATGACAATTTCACAGGCTGCGTCAGAGGCTGTACACCTACAAGCGGAGGTAGTATGATGGGCTGCGTCATTTGAGGTGCAGGTGAAAATGCTGGAAGATGGCTGAATTGCGGTTTTAGAAGATTTTGGGAAGCACTGGAGGGTGGGTAGGTGTGGACCGAGTCCGCTGTAGAACCCTGTCGAGTGAAAACATTTGAACCTGCAAGATCCACCAGTTTCAGCCTTGGTCTACAGTTTGAGGAGTCTTCTGCACTGTCCATCCCATGGCGCTTTTCCAGACTATCCATGTGGTCCACTAGATCACGAATATAACCCTTTGAAGGCCCCCGCTTCATGGGCACGCGAGAAAACAAACATTCCTCGCCAGTTTTCGTACAGTTAGTGCAAAGCTTTGTAACTCGCAGTAGGGTTGACAGATATTCCGCATTACACCTGATTTTCTTGCGACGACAAGCGTCACAGGCTCGAGAAACTTTTGATCTTTTTCTCGGGATGTCTCGTTTTGAGAATGCCATATCTTCTGTCCGATCGCTGATCACAGACTCAGGAGATTTGGTTGACATGTTGAGAAAAACTTGGTATGATGTCCGACTAGCGAAAGCCTAATTGAATGTCGAATCTACCCGGCGAACTCCGGGATAGATGATCAGGTATTGCTAAAGCCGATGGGCGATCGGAGGTTTGCTATTTTTTGAAGTTCAATGAGACACGCCTTCAGAAGAAATCTTTTCAAAGAGCAACAGATTTATTCCACTCTAGACAAGTCACTTGTGGCCCGCTTGTTCAATGTGTGTCAATCAAGCTTCAATGAACAAAGGGAAAAGAGCGGAAAAGACGAAAAAGCTGCGACGAGAAACAGACGACGAATTTCCAAGTCACCGAAATCTCTGAGAGGCTTTTAACGTAATCTGTCTCGATCTTAGAATTTGAGTGGAGGCTTAAAAAAAAAAATGATCACGGATAAACTCTATTGTCCTTTGCGGGTCTAGATAAAAATCGATGTGGAGAAACCGTAGCGCGAGGAAAGGCCTCGGAAATACATTTTCTCCGTGCATACACTGAAAGTGGCTGCTCCAGGCATTGGTTAGAAGCATATGAGAGGGTGGGGTAGAGACCGGAAAAGACTACATTATTTCTCGTTTAAGTAAATGCAGTACCATAACTTGGAAAATAAAAAAAAAAAAGCACAGAGAAAGAGGAGACAAACCCGCAAATAGGGGCTGATATATCGGATATTTCGATATATGCTCCGAGCAAAGGATCCTTGAAGCAGCCACTCTTCTCAAAATTCATACCTTGGAATATAATACGTCTTTCAAGTAGCACGTTGTCTGCGGCTCCATAATATATATCCGGGAAGTTCGATCGGAAAGTTTTTTTTGCGTGTGGGGGAGGAGCCCGGGAAGGCGGATAAATTGCGGATTTTAAGCCCGGTGCCCCAAACCATACGTCTGGTATTGCTGAGACAATCAGCGTATTGAGAAAGTGTGTTGACATTTCTTCAAACAAAAAAGAAAAAGAACCAGAGGAAGGAGATATTAAAAAGTTAATAAAGAAGTGAAGTTGGAGCACGCAGCCTGTTTTAATTTTTCTTTTTTTGTCAGCGAAGTGTAAATCTTCAACTTTACGTGAGAATCAAGAGGCAAAGAGCTAGAAGGTTAATTATTGCCTTGTTTCGAGAATTATAGGGCAAAAGCATTCATCCAACATTAATGATTGACTCATGCAACAACTTGGAAAATTGGAAATCGTGACCGGAAAAACCGACTGAGACTTGCATGTAGGGACACACCCACAATAGACAGTCTTCATGCCTGGAGATGTGCCCCGCGGTAGAGCAGGGAGTATTTCCGTTTTCGGTCGAGCCGACATTTCATGAACCCGAAAGCGGACACTATCAGCAGGTTGAATGATCCTAGTTACGCTTCCATACTTGTCTTGCAGCCCGATATGTTGCATTGTTTTGAGCGGCCCCTTTCAATATTATGCCGCTTTGTAACACACGCGAAACGTCGAAAAAAATTGACTTGGGATCAGTGAGCCATGCATTCGTTTTGATGGGTTGGCAATAACGAGGCATTGACAGTATGTTTCATTTTCAGTTGAAAACCAGGGAAACATTCGCTGAATTTGATAGCAAAAGTTTGACGGTTCTCATGGAATATCGCATCTGCTTTCTGAAAGGGTAAACTTTTGAGCTGCTTGTATTGTAATTTCGTGGGTGCAATGAGCGAGAAGAAAATGCAGCATTTTTTCAGATGTGGTCACTTTCTCTGTGGAGAGGGGGAGACTGAGTTTTTCTTCACATGCAGTGAAATACATGCTTCACGTTTGAACTTCTATGGTATGTAATTGACTACCTTTGATTCCGTCCTCTCAAGTGCCTGTTCATCCATGCACCAATAGAGTTGAATTGAGGCCTTTGCAAGTACAATATGAGCTTTCACCTATTCCAAACTTTGAATTTTGTGGATAAAGATCTCTAAACTCATCAGAATAAGTTCTAAACAATAAGCCTGGTTTTCATGACAAAAAAAGTCTTACCTTCTGCAGTGCGCTCATTCCCAGGCATGAGATTCGCAGTACATCTCAGAATACAGGAAATATCAAAAGCATGAGCAACAGGCCGGGTTCATTAAGGCAGCCTTCAATTGAATGAAGCAGGCTGTGTTACTTCGAAGAAGCAAACTTGTTGTTCCCTTGATCGTTTTAGGGGCAGCAACCTACATAGACTACGCATCGTGCTATATCGTGGCATGGAAAGAGGTCTATCATCGCCGCCTGTCCGCGTCCGCTATTGTGTTTTGGGTATTGTTGGCGATTTTCCACGTCCTTTGTTTGTTCTACTGGGCTCTAATATTCATTCGCGGGCCAGGGCATATACCCAAATTCCAAAATTTCAATTTATATCAGTCTCAAGAGAAGGGCACCGCTCCTGTGCCTGATGTCTTTGTCTGTGACGAGCAAGGGTTCCCCTTCTGGTGTTCAAAATGTCAAAATCTCAAGCCAGATAGATCCTTCCATCTGACTGATCTCAATACGTGTGTTCCTCGGTTCGATCACTTTTGCCTCTGGATAGGCACTGCTATCGGTAGAGACAATTTCATACCTTTTATTAAATTCTTGCAGTCGTTGCTTGCTTATGTTACTATTGTCCTATGTTTTGCCGCAGTTTACACACGTTCTTCTCTACGCCATGACCATAGCAACCTTCCTCATTTTATTGTATTATTTGTTCTTTCTGCATTTGGTACCATTTTCACGTTGTCTCTTCTAATAGGAACGGTAAAATACACCTTTACCAACTCCACGTCTTTCGATGAGATCACAAGAAGACAAGCAATGACTTACAGAAGATGGCTAGGAAAACAAAGGAATGTAAATTCAAGGTATACATGGTGCGTTGGTAAGACACCCCGGGTGGAACTGGGCATACGCTTTGTCAATATTGCTCACGAAGGAACGAGAAAAGTCGTTTCGTACACATTTGATGACAACCCGTATTCAAATGGGTTCAAAGTCAATTTGATAAACATGTGTCTAAACAAAAATTACAATGTTAATCTTACCCGAGATATTGCGGGCCTGTTGCGTTTAATGAAATCGAGTTTAGTTGCAATTGTGCCTTTTGCAGAATTCTTCATTGCAACCAGTGCGAGGGACAAGACTTTGGCGAGCTTTCAACAAAACTCGGATGAGTTCAGTCCCGAGTTCATGCAAAAGATGTTAGATAAGATAGAGAAAAAAGAGTTCAAGCATGCTCTGTACGTTGCTCCAATCATTCATGACCTGAAGTGAGACTTTTTTGTCATAAACAGATTGGGATTTCAACCCAAACTTAGTACGATTCCCCATTCTCGGATCAAGTCCATAAAGCTAGTATCTTCTCCCTGTTCTCTTCTATGCCAAACCTCAAACAATATTTGCTTTGAGCGCCAATAGTTGAATCTTTTGAAACATCTCTCATTCCACAACTTTTGGCATTGTTCTCTTAAGTAGCCGTGGGTTGAAAGATCAATCTCGCACCCACAGACAAGCAAAGGCCAGAACAATGGGTTAAAGTGATAATTTATTCCTTTCACTTTCAAGGTTTTATTCAATGCAATCAACTTCTCCATGTGGAAAAAACTTGCCTGGATAAATGGCTGATAAATTTGTTTGGGACTTTCAGGTATGAGTCTTTTGAAATAGACTACCAATGCATTGTGAAAGTAAATAACGTTATGAAACAACCCCTCATGGAAGTCCGAGATGAAGAACTTTGTCGCAACGTTGGTGATAGGATTGTAATGATTGTCGTATAGTTTCCAATGGTTCTCTACATTGAAATTCAATATTTTGTCTTCGATCTCCGCACATATCCTTGGAAAGTTGCGAGGTGCTAGCCCACGAGTTTTGAAAACAGCTTTGTGGTTTGTGAGATGAACAACTTCTTGCACCAACTGCAAAAGAGCTTTTGGTAAACCATAGCTCAGAAAGATAGAACCATCCTCCAAAGTAGGTATGATTGGATTCGGATAACTCCCTTTATCCGGCAATCCTTCTTGAAAACTTTTGAAACCTAGCTCCTTTGGTTGTCTCAAATCATTGTTATTAGAAGATTTTCTGGGCTTCTCACCGTCAAAGTTTACCGTGAATGATAGAGCTTGTGAAGTACTCGATGTGGCACACACATTAACGGCACTTTCATCATCGTCCCCAGAACCGAAATCCTCCTCGGAGTCATCACTGGAAAAGTCTTTCTCTTTATTCGTGTCATTTTTTGTGAGATCATAGTCTTCGTCGAGGTCCAGATATTTAAGTCTCTGATCTTTCCCCGATATAGAATAATTGAAAAAGTTAATGGTTTGAGTCGATTCATAAAGAATATTCAAAATGTTGAAACTATGGCGCAAGTGACGCTGCAAAGATGATTGATGTCTTCGACTTGATTTGGGTTTTTTCAAAATAAAGTCACCTATTGCATACATGAGTTCGTAGTTTTCAAAGACACCAAATAGATTGTCGATGTGAACCTGCAAAATGAGTGCTAAAAGGAAATAAGTATCGTAATCATCCACAGGATAGTACTCAGAGTTACCATCGTATTCATCTAAATGATAGTTAAGAATATTGATCGCAATTTTTCTCAACTCAATACTTATCTTGAGCTCATCATTGACAAACAACGAATCTACTGCATTCGTTACCTTTAATCCAGAAAGCGAGCGCTCATGCCAACTGATGGACAAGCACATACAAAAAATGGAGAATTTGATATTTCGTAGAAGGAGGTTTCTTGGTATAGCAGTCGGTGTTTTGCCTGTTAAATGGTTTTTCCAACTATTTGACTCAGGATATTCCTCACAAATAATCTCGAAAAACATTTGCTTTATAAAAGGCACAACGAGACTTTTCCATGGATTCTGATTGTGAGCTACTCTCATGGATGACAGTAAGCTATCCAAAAGAAACTTGAAGTCTGACCCCATGGAGGGAGCAATGACAATGTTTCCCGCACTATCCTGGGAAAAAAGCTCGTTCAAGACTCGGCCGTTTGGCCTCCAGTTATCTGATTCGACGTTTGGGAAAAACTTGGGATAAAGAATATGGAACATGCCCTGTTCATTGAACTTGTGGCGCGGCCCTTTTATGGACAAGATGGTGAGCTTTGCATAGTCCAAGAGTTTGTAGTGGACGTAGGCATTAGTTGTCTTGGAAAAAATAGACGATTCTAGGTCACTCCCAAGGACTTCGCTCACAGAAACAGCGGAAAGGAAACCAGTTTCTTTCTCGAGAACTTCTGCAGGTGTATGCGCAAGAGCAGATTCTTGCGGGAGTGAGTTTAGGTCCTTGGGAGAGTGATCAATAAGGGGTAGTTGACTGGATGTTTCAAGCGGAAACACTCCAAAAGGTCCAACAATGAAACACGGCCGCAGAACCGTCGAATGTGTCTCATCAAACTGTGCAACAATTTGATTGAGTTTGTCATAGGTCTCGTACAGCATCAGCTTCGGGAATTTCACTAGTTCAAGATTCCGCCGCAGAGAAGCTCTCTCATATTTTCTGTTGGGTAGTTTCGCCGCATTAAGAGACGTTAGCTTATTGTCATTATCAAGCGTCGAGACATCTGCCCAGGCAAGCACGACCTTGTATCCTTTGCATTCTAGATTCGCCTTCTGACATCTTTGGCATTTCGGTCGGGTGGCATCGCACTTGATCTTTCGTATGCGACATGTCCAGCACCCATTGAAATTTCTTGACCGCGGGGGCATAAGGGTGAATTGCAGTTCTTGGTGGATCAAATAAAGACTATATGGGGGGCCAGTATCTAGATTTCCTTGTCTTGATTCTATTGTTCCAGCACAGAAGACTTTTGTAGATTGGTGGGTGATAGCTTGTAATCAAGTACGTGAGCTCTGCGCGATTTGACGTGAAATTGATGCATGTTTCCAGATTGCCGTGGGGCTCATTTTCTGTCGCACCTCAATGGAGACAGTCTGGGGCTGACTGCGCATGTCTAATTTCAACGCAGAACATTATTTTTCAGCGCAAAAAAAAGGTCTGCAGCGGAGACTTGTACGAACTACACGATTATGGAAGGTCATTCTTACAGGGCTTACCTACTTTAATTGTGTCTTGCGTGACTGTCCTAATGATACGTCAAAATTTTGCGCGTAACAATTTGACATGAGACATGGTCGTTCACCAGAAAAAAGATTGGATACTAAAACTAATACATTTAAGCAGCATATATTAGGACTCTTTGGGAAGTAATCCATGTGATGTATGTCCTTGGTGGAGAGATACTAATATTGCCCACTGATTTTCTTTTGGCCCTGCAGCATTCTGGGGTGTTGGTCCAAAAGTGCGCGACTTCCCCACGCCCAGACCCCAGGTACCATCCAGATCTGAACCGGCTCGACCAACAAGCCATCCTGTGAATATACATGCACCATCCCCCACAAATGTCGTTGGAGCTCCTTGATCAAGTGGACCCAAAAATACCAGAGTTTTTGCCTCATGACATGGTGTATTCTATACAGGTGGGATACAAGCTTTTTCAGGTCTCTGGCGCTTCTCTACTGTCCGACGCCCCATCTTACTTTACAAGGTTCTTCGATCAGCCTGGAAATGCAGGAAAAACACTTTTCATAGATCGAAGCCCACTCGTCTTCAAAAAAGTGTACATGCATTTGCAAGGCTATCATATAAGCGTGGATACTGATTACGAGTTCGTACATCTCTGGCAAGACGCTTATTACTTTTGCTTGACTCGTCTCCAAAAGCTTTTGAGGGATGAGCCATTGATAGCAAGAGTGGGAGATACGCTTTTCAAAATCCCAAGGGTATTTTTATATGGCCCTGGGAATCATCCCAACTTTTTTCTGATTGGGATGGAGGGGCTTTCTACAAAGTCAACCATACTAAACTCGGATGTTTCATTGATACGGCCCCCTCCACAACGCCCAACATTGACTATTAATCGCTCCCCCATTCTTTTTGCCGATTTGCTAGAAATCTTTCGGGGAAATTACGAGATATTGCGTAACGACGAGCACCGTACCAATTTGATCAAAGAATGCAGATACTACCGTTTCCTACAACTTGAGCAAGCAATCATAAAACACAAAATTATTCGAAATCCGTTCACACAGAAAGAGGATATAATACTTAATCTCGTTAATCTCAATAAAGCAGGCATTATTAACCTGTCTACTAGCTTGGAAGATGAGCAACCAATTTCCTACATTCGTCCTTACTTGCGAAAAGAGCCCAGGAGACATCTAATTATACAAATCGATTCAGATGTTGACTTCGATGCGAAGCTCATTATACCAAAAACAGGGGACTTGTCATTTCTTGTTTTAACAAATAGATTTGCGACAAAAATGTCACAAGTTTTTGAGCTGCTTGCCAAAACTTTCTCGAATGATGGTGGAAAAACCAAATTGGTGCTCCCTTGTAATCTTTTAGATGCTGCTGTTACCGTGAATGGAATTGAGCTCAAGAAATCATGGTTTCGTGAGTTTTTTGGGCCCTTAGAAGAAGTTCCTGAAGATGAACCACCACACAAACGGAAAAGATGTGACACGGGTATGAAGGGTGAAGTTGTGGACTTCAAACTAAAACAGTCACTTTGGAGGATTACCAGTAGAACAGACAAATTGCTTCTACAGGCAGTGTCGATAAATGCGGTAAGTGATCAGTTTAATTTCAATAAATCTGTTGAGTTCCTATGAAGATTTTTTGTCGTTTCATCATTTCACAACTAGTGCTTCTTAGTGTATCATACACAAAGAAGGCTTTAGACGGGCTTCTTTTGGAAGTTTGAAGCTAATGCACCTTGGATACTTTGGATTTAACGTTTGTTATGCACCAGCATACAGCACTTAACACGGATCAAGTCACAATTTTGCTCAAAAAGTAACTCGGAGCATGCAAAACAAAAAGCTATATTTCTCTCCAAACAGATTGGCTAAATTAAAGCGTGCTGCACAACTAGATTTGGCATGGCAAAGCATGTGTATCCCAAGGTTTGAGCCATATAGCAGACCCCTTCTGTCTCAATACCATCATACCCTTCTTTTCTTTGCCATGAAGTTCCGACGATATTCATTGTTGGGAAAACCACTCCTTGCTTGAAAATGATCGACTTCAAAAAGAGCACAGCTCCTCCCACTGAGTCCAATTTTACCGTGTAACTTAAATCAAGGTTTGAGTCTGTACTTGACATATCTGAACTTCTGGCATGGTCACCGAGGTGGAAGATCTCGTCTTTTACATCCTCAGGAACGTAGCCAGCCTCATCCCACTTATCATCATTCATAAGCTGAAGCTGAGATGCTGAGGGTGTTTTTCTGTTACCGCGCCAGGAATTTTTGTCGTAGTCTACCTCACCACCCAGTTCAATGCGCGGAACAATAATATCTTTTCCAGAGTTCACAAATCGTTTGAGCATGTTAGTGTGGTCAAACCGAATGACGTCAGCATCTAGAAATAAAGTGTAATGTTCTGACTGAAGTGAATTAAAGAGGGCAAAATTTCTTCCCTGCGCTATGTTTCTTCGACGAAGTCTTTGAAGTTTTGGTGAATGTTCTGACGATTTGAAATCGCTTTGTAGGAATGGTGCATACAAAATTGTCATTTGATTGTAGGTACACAATTCGCCTTTAATAATGGCTTCAAGATAATTCGTTACATCATTATATAGTTGGAGGGATCCACAGTAAAAGGCAATATTGATTGAAGATGTGGGATATTCGAGCGAGCCAATAACCTTGTAGAAATCTTCAAAACCACGATCTTTGCCAAAAGAATTCTGGTTTGCGATGGAAGACACAACCAAAACTGAATTTTTTCCAGCTGAGTTATATCCTGACCTTGTATATACCACTTTATTATATCCTAAATGGGTGAAATTATTGTCAATCCGGGAATAAACTCTTGGATGCTCTGAGGGTATTTCAGCTGGAAGTAATTGTAAACTCAGAATAAGTGGGATTATGGGACTGTCATAGTGCCATATGATGAGAATCGCAAATACTATCGTAGATGATAATATTGAAAAAAAAACTATTTTTGTATTTCTCATAGTTCGCTCGAATATTGAGCAAAATCATGAGAGAGAAGGACATTAAGCGGTTTTTATTCGTCCGGACACCTGGCTAATTCTCAGCCGCAACTTCTGCACGCTTTTGGCATGTCGTGGAGTCTTATGGTTGACACCAGACAGGAATAGGCGATACCCATACAGGAGACGTACAGGAAATGCCTCGGATCATAGAAAAGGGAGTAACAATAAGCCCATTTTATATAAGAGGCAAAGTTTATACAGCATGAAATATCAGAATGCATTAAGTGCTTGAAAAGATAGCATTTGTTTCATTGACAATATTGGTTGAAATGAACACGTTTGTTCAAAACACATACAACTGTGAGTGCTGTGACCAAAATTGCTCGAGCTAGGCAACAATAGAAAACATAAAAAACTCGGTTATGAGTAAAGCTGACATTGGTCCTTTACCACGTTTCATACTGCTGGGCGCATTGCGCATTGCTTTAGTTAGAACGGTGAAGGGAGTAACTGATTTTACGCTCCGATGACTCAAGATGTACCTGAAACAGTGGGACTTATTTGGGACATGACTTCTAGCAAAATGGGGCAAGGCTAGTCCTCTCTGACTTATTTTCTCTTACACTACAAGCGACCGGCTATGTCAAAATTCTGTTCTCAACATTTGACATGTACTAAGTGAAATCCTTTACTATGAAATAATCATTTACAGCTTTTTCACTCAAACACAATAATACCCATGGAAGGTTCCTATATAATTAAGTCAGACATCTTGTATTAATTTGCAGGTGACTTCATAATTTTTGAAAGCAGATTCGCTCGCTTGTTTTTATGCAGTTCTTTCTTTTTATTTTTAGATAAATGGTTTCAAGTTCAGTCAGGGCAATCCAAGATTGGCTGATTGAAATGAAGCAATCGCCCTTCATCGACTACGTCCAAATATCTTGATATCAATGAATGATGAGGTCCGCTCAGTTCAAAATAGTTGCATGCAGTTGTAACAATTCGTTCCCAATTCTGCAAAATGCTCCAAGAGAACGGGGAACTACTCATGTGTCGTTTATAGAAAGAAAACAAACGACATGTTCCAATAAGATCTTCAGCGGATTTCGATGATGAACTTATTAAGCTACCACGTGTATATCTCTTGAATAATGTGCCTATGTAGGTAGAAAGCAGAAAGCAGAGCAAAAAGAATCTGCACTGCAACTGCGGGATTGTACTCATCCTAGGTCTCAGACTGCGCCTACTTTGCGAATCTTAAAGACTGCTCACTCTTGATTATGTTTGCCATTCCTCTTCATATTGGCCATCAATAGTTGCATGTCACATGGATGACAAGCGAGTTTCTCCATAGCGGTCTGCAGGACCCTTGAGAGACCCAAGTCTCAGTGGCTATCTCGTCCACTCCAGTGCACCCGTGCACCATCTGACACCCAATTTGTTCAAGATAATTCACTACGAGCGTCACCAAGAGGCTTATCTTTCAAACAGCATGGCAGTCACACAGTCGCTTGTAGTCGCCACTCTCTTAACTGTGGGAGGCTACTTGCTTTTTCAAGGCGAGGGTGAATCCTTCAATGTCGGCGAGTTTCTAGAAACTACGTCGCCCTACATGTGGGCCAACTTGGGTATTGCTAGCTGTATCGGCTTCTCTGTTGTCGGCGCAGCTTGGGGTATATTCATCACAGGCTCTTCTATTCTCGGAGCAGGCGTTAAAGCTCCGAGAATCACGACAAAGAATTTGATCTCCATTATTTTCTGTGAGGTTGTGGCCATTTACGGCTTGATCATGGCAATTGTGTTTTCGGCAAAGGTCTCGAGTGTGCCGGAGACTTCTTTATACACCAAGGAAAACTTGTATACGGGATACGCCTTATTCTGGGCTGGAATCACTGTCGGCGTATCCAATTTATTATGTGGTATAGCTGTGGGTATTACGGGATCTACTGCTGCTATCAGTGATGCCGCGGACTCTTCCTTATTCGTCAAGATTTTGGTCATTGAGATTTTCGGCTCTGTCTTGGGTCTTTTTGGTCTTATTGTGGGATTGATGATGGCTGGCAAGGCCCCTGAATTCAAATAGATCACCTTCTTTCAAGATCCGCTATCCCCATGCTGCCCGTCGTGTTGAAGCGTGATATATACAATTTCTTTATTTCTACAACTACGAACCCAAACCTCAAAGTCAATAAGTCAACCGCCGAATAAACCTACTAGATTTTTTGAATATTTCTTGATTAACAATCTCTATACTACCCTTAAGGCTAGTTATCGACATCCATGAAATCGGGTGATTTCTTCAAAATGACGATACCCTCCAAAGTGTGAGATAAGCTCACCCATTCGTCGTTGTTTTCCAACTCTGCTCTCTCCCCGTAGTTGAGCATAACTGGTGTTGCTTGCGTGACCCAACCCGTGATCGTTTTTGGCTTACCAGCTTGCCCCACCACGTCGACTGCTTGTCCAACCCTAACGTTCACCTTGATAGGGTTCAAATCTTCATCAACGGTTATCAACATCTTTGGTTTCACAGCGGGTGTGAGACAGTACAAAAATTGATGGGTTGTCTCGTTTGCACTATCACTGAGAATAAATTCCTTGGGATCTAGTAAGGAGACGGACACGGTCAAAAGTGAGGCCAAAGACACCTTGTTGAGAATGCTTCTTTCGACATTGAATGGCGTCAATGTGAGAGTACCTTTACCCAAGTATAAAATTCCTTGAGCAATTCTCACCATGAACAAGCAGTCTGGGGACTTGGAGTAATACTGTGCCAACTGTCTCAACAATTGTGCCAATCTAGCGTTGTTAGTACCTGCACCAACAAGACCCATTGCATATATGGCATTCTGTGAAACTTCCAAATCAGGATCATGCGAGTAGCGAGAAAGTGTGTCGAAAACTTTCATCTGGGGGTATGATGCTGACACAAGGCCCATGGCCAAAGGAACTGCTCTTCTGATGAGAGGCGAGCCGTAGTGCATCAAGTGGGAAAAATGACGCAAGACCATATCTTGCCCAATGTTCTCACCCATTGCAATACACGCAAGACCCAATACAGCAAAGCCTTGATACAATTCATTATCTTCATCGGTGTCCTCAATTTCATCGTCAGTTCCTTCTTCATCTTCATGGGGTGAATCTGATTTTTGAGTTTCTCCCTTCTTTTCCTCGGTCAGGTCGTCTTGAACATCCATGTCAACATCTTCATCGATCTTCATGTCAAGCTCATCTAAAGCATATTCTTGCGATTCTTCGTCGTCTTCATCCAACTTGACTGTCTCTTCCTTTGGCTTTGCGGAGCACATCTGCAACAAAGATTGAATTTGTAAGACATTACCAGTACCGGCATAAGCGCATATGTTGATAAGCACCTTCAAGGTTTTGTTAATCGGGTGCAGAATGGCATCGATGATGTCCACTGCGTCATCTATCAATTCCGTCTTTCCCATGTACAACAAGCCGAGCCCTAAAGCCATGAATCTCATAAATTTAGACTCCAATTGCGGGGCCTCTCTTTCCATTATGGTTTGTAAGATTGTGGTTGAGATGTCCCCATGGCAGGTCCCCACGAATACATGCCCGAGGGCCAATGCCGCCAAACACGAGTTTTCCAAGGGAACTTCAGTGTCAGAAACCAAGGGCAACAATAAATTCAAGACTTCTTCATTTGCCGAGCCTGCAAAAGCAATTCCGAGACCCTGAATGGCCGAGGACTGCAATATTTTCTTCGAGTCGGTCACAAATTCTTGCAACAACGCAAGGGACGCCTCTGCCTCATCGTGAATATTCGCCGACACGATACCGGTACCCAAAATAGCACCAGCCTTTATCTCGTCCTCGCTGGAGTAGAAGTACTTGTCCAAGGCCTGCAAGCCGTCCTCGATGTTCCACTGATTGATGGAGCCTATGGATGCCGAGGAGGAAATCATACCAGCCCCTTTGGTTTTGTAGATCCACGATTTGGACTCTTCGCTGCCCGATTGCAGAACCAACTTGTCGTTACCAAAACCCATGTTCGTGAAGGCATTGACGAAAGAAGCAGCCAGGTTTTGCTTGGCCGAGTCGATGGAACCCGCGCCATAGGAGAATCTGGAGTCCTCCAAGTGAGACTTGTAGATGTCCTCAGGGACTCTGGGCTCCAACAAATTCAACTCCTTGGTCAAGTAGGAAAAGTACTCGGGCAACTTGACGTTAGAGATGATTTCTTGCACGTCCTCGTTCTCGCCCGGGTAAGTGAAGCGGTTGTATTGCTGGGCCAAGAGAAAGCCCAACTGCTTGTGGACCAACGCGTCATCAGTGCTCTCGAAAACCTGTTTGATCAAGTCCTCGTCGTCCAATTTGATTGCCAAGGTCAAGGCCTGGGTCAACTGGCCGTGGGCCAAGTAGATGGAGTAGGCGGTGTGCAAAAACGACAAGTCATCCGGGGGCGCCAAAAGGGGCACACAGCTGACCATGTAGAGACACACCCTGGCGTAGGTGGAGTCGTCCAAGAACTGGGGCAATTTCTCGATGCTCTCGACCTCCAACAACAAGTCGACGGCGTCCGCCTCGGCATTGTGCTTGAGGAAGAAAGGCACGATTTTCAACGACAATTCCACCAAGCGCGCCGCGTACTCATCGTCCACGCCCGACTTCTCCTGGTACGCCTCGCCAATCTCGAGAGCCAAGTGGCGCATGTATTCGTGGCCCCAGTCCGCAACGGTGTCCTCGCCTGCAATCAAGCGGAATCTGAGCGAGTCCTGCTTCCCGGTGTCAGAGTTGGTCATGGCCAACACAGAAATCACGTTTGCAAGCAGGAGCACGAGTTGCTGCGACACGGCGTCCTTGGTATGGGCCCATTTCTCATACAACTCGTTCATCAAGGGGAAGTGCGGCCGCAAAAACTTCAACGGTTTGGGCACCGCGGTCATCGAGGTTGTGGACGAGCGGATGTGGTCTTTCATCGTTTCCAACAATTCGAGGTAGACGGATTCCTGCTGGCTGGGCTCGTTCAAGCGCTCGACCAAGAGCTCCAAGTCGTCCTTCAATCTCTGGTCCTCTTCTGAAAGCTCCTCCTCTTTGGAGACGGGCTTTTTGGTTTTGGTGGGGTCGGACTCGGTGGCCGTGCCCAGATCTCTAGTCGGAGCCATGATGTGGATGCAAGTTTTTCGGATTGATAAGAGCTGCTTTGGGCCGGCGAGCGCTGGGAGTAGCTGGCTTTTTTTAGTGTGGCAAAGTGGGCTGGGCACGTGACCGCTCGCTCGCAGCGTTCGCCGCCGGTGCGCGTGGAGGACCGGCCATGCGACGCATTCGCTGGGTAATTTCCCTCTAGTTCTAGCCAAAAAGAACAAGGAAACGTGCTACTGAGCTGGACAGATGGATGTGTAGTACCTCAAAAAAAAAAAAAAAGAAAAACAAAGATAAACAAAGAAAAACAAAGAAAAAAGATCCAAGGACCCATTTCCTGTCTTTCCAATTCTTGCCACGTACATGTCTCACTATCCATGCCTTATGCGGCGCCTCGCCCGACTATTGGTGGGTTCATCTTGGGACGAGTTCCAGTTCACTTCTCAGCTTCTTCTTTGGTCTGAATGAACCTCACCCACGGCCCCTATGAAAAAAAATCTGCGTGTATCATATAGGCTTGTCACGTTGCGAGTTGTCTTGTTTTACACCGAGCCATTTTTGCACCTTGGGCCCGGCCCCAGCTCGCTCCACGTCTGCGCGAGTTTTATATGCTGCTGGCGCAGGTATTCTCACCGCGCAAATCTCATCTTATAGAAACTGGCCATCAATTCTTATATCGAGTCAGAAGGCAGGGTCCCGGGCTCTTGCAAACTTCAATCAGGCTGCGTTCACTCTGCTCACTGACAAACAAAGTGCACTGGCCGGAACTTCGGCTCGGGTCTCGAAAGCAACACCAAGCTAGTAAACACCATACTTGATCTGCGGCCCGCCTGCGCAATGGATAGAATCTTCTATAAGACCGACCTCAAAGATGCCTATACCGGGTCCCCCATTTATATTTTCGATACCTCGTACCTCCCAGCGCCCGAGGAAGTGGACTATGACTTGTTCATTCCCACGCTCATGCAGTGGCTTCCGAAAACGCCATACGTGGTGATCCTATTTAGTTGCGGCTTAAACAAGATCAATTGGGTCTGGGGAATCTCTTTCTTGAAAGCCTTTCTCTCTCGGACCTCGTCGAATCCTTCGAACGCAGAAAACGTGCATAAAATCATAGCTGTTCACGAGAGCTGGTTCGTGAAATCCGTCAGCCAAATCTTCACGAATTTCCTAGTATCCCGAAAACCACTTGCGAACTTGAACTCGCTCATATCATCTTTGAAACTCTCCAGCAACCTCCTCGCTAGTTGTGACTCGCTCTCGGATCTTTCCAACTACGTGGACATCACCCATCTCAAAATATCCTTGAACGTGTATAGACACGACTATCAAACGACCCTCTCGGCAAGAATCACGCTACATTCTCCAGTCATTCCCGTGATCACTGCATCCACTAGATTCTCGCCCGAGACAGACCCGGTGTTCTATCATCATTTCTACCAAATATTCAACATTGTGGATGCATATGCGGACCAGGTGGAGCTTTTATTCCATAAACCAGGGAAAAAAATCAACACTGATATTTTGTTCTACTGTTTGATGCGCAACCAAATCATATGGATCAACGACTGGGACCTTAATTGTGTTGCGTCGTGCTTTAAAAAAATCCTTACCGAGATTTCAACTCCTCTCATAGATACCAACAAGATCGCTTTACCAATGAAGGACGACTTGGACTATACATCTCAAGTATTCAAATCGATGATGATCGAAGAAAACAGAAATACCATCTTGTTTCAGATCATATGTCTTTGCCGCAGAATCGTGGATCGTGGCATGACAACGAAACACACCAACGTCTCGATCCTGAGGTGCTTGTCTCATGCGCTAACGCACAAAGCAGTGTCACATCAGAACAAAGACACCATTCTGATTGTTGTGAGATTTGTTAAGAACCTTATACACCACTGGCATGAGATAAAGCCTCAATATCAGAACCGCTTCAAAACCGTGCATGAAATTGTGTGTGGAGAAGACATGGAAGACGCAACTATTGACGAGCTGTACAACATGTCGTATGGTGTGAAGATGGGGACTGGATCCTCATCAGATGAAGATGAAAGTCTGAAGCCGAACACTGAAAACTTACTTTCATCGGTCTCATCCTTCAAGAAACCCGATTCTCTCGTCTCTTGTCGCAAACTAGACGTAGATATACACTCCAGGAACGAATCACCAGTACGCCTGATCAACAGTACTCTCGTTGAAAGTTGTACTAAAAGTTCGCCCTCTCATGATTTACCTTTAAGTGGCTCTATTGAATTGCACTCAGTTGATATGAGTGCCTTTGAGGATCACCCCTTCGGTGGAAATATCGACGCAAAATCCAGGCAATTGGAGAAGTCTTCAATCCAGATTCAATTCCCGCCCCAGAAATACAAATTCGAAAAATCCGAGGGGGGTGAAAACTCAGTTTTGTACAAACCAACAACGAAACCAGAAGAGGCTGCGGTATTCATCAAGAAGCCAGTGATTCGTGGTAGAAAGGTTGGCGAGCTCACAAGAATTTTCGAAGAAAGGTCCCATGCAATGAAAATCTTGGGCACCATGTAGTTTCCAGGAGAGGAAGTGGCAGGAGCTACGTACATAAAGATAGCATTTGGCAGGAAAATACGACAGATCACCCTAAGCCGCTTGTTTCATGTCTCTCATATTAATGTTTTTCTCGAGAATTAACGACCCGAAAGAGGTAGTATACAATATTTTACAAAATCACTCGCCCACCAATCTGCTATCGATGTTATCAATTGACAAATTGCCACTCTCGTCAGCATGTGCTGCATTAGCCACAGCAGCGATAGCCGCAGCAGCAGTATCGGAATGCTCGGAATCGTGGAGCCCGTGCGCCTGCAACTGATGCTGGTAGTGTTGTAGCTGCTGTTCGTCGATATGGGAGTGGTGTGAGAGAGAGTGGGCATGAGAAATCCCATGATGATGAGAATGATGGGCCTCAGCGGCCTGGATCTGCCTCTGCAAATCTGCCTCTTGTCTATGGCGCTCCAACTCGTAAGTCAAGACCTCATCATGCTCATCGTCATCATCACCCTCCATAACCTGATGATAGGAAGCAGCGTTACGGCGTCTCTTGGTACCATTGGGCGCAACGCCAGGCGGGTAGAACTTGTTCAGTTTCTTCATCTTGCGCTTGTAGCCCCTGATCTCGTTATAGATGTCTTCTCTTTTTATGAGAACGTCTGGAAACTGATGCTTGATCTTTGCTTCAATGTGCGAAGGCTTGGTTCCCACCTTGTACAAGTCCAAGATCAACAAGTTCAACTCATCAGACCTCTTGCGCAACATAGGGTGGTTCGACAAGGGGTCCAACTGCGGGTGGTTGTGTTCATTGCATGTGGTGCGCAACGACCAGATCTGGCTCGATTTCCGGTACAGCGCGGTCATCGAAAACGGGCACCGCAACTTCTTGGTACGCGCGTGCGAGTCTAGAGCGTACCCCGTGCCATCTTCGTTGAGCTGGCTCTGCGCCGCCTCCTCTTCTTGCTGTTCAATGCTTTTGCCCTTCTTGTGGCGATATCTGCCCCCGAGCTCGCATGTGTAGTAGATGGCCTTCCTGTTGGAGTGGGCAATGACAATGCCAAAGCCATTGTCGCGAGCAAACTCGGCTATGAACTCGTTGAGCTCGTCCCTGCCGTGGAACAACTGTTCCGGAAAGGGGCGCGTGATCAAGTTGCCCTCGTTCGTGATGGTGTTTTCATTCACAGGGTATATTTTCAGGCGCGAGTCGATGATCGGCTCGGGGATCTGGATGTTGTATTCAGACTCGCCGACATCCTGCAAGTGTTGCTGGTGATGGTACAACACCTGTGCTTGGGCGGCCTGTGCCGCCTGTGCCGCCTGTGCAGCTTCGGCGGCTCTTTGCTCCTGCAGCGTTTGGGCTTCGTGACCGTGTCTGTGGTCGTGTCCATGACGGTGTCTGTGTCCCTGGTTGTGATTGTGATTATGGCTGTGCTCGTGGCCAAGCACGTGTTCGGGATCCTCTAATTTGGCTTTGCCATTGTGTTGAAGTTCGTGGTCATTCACCTGATTTTTTACCGCGGTAAGCAACTGCTCATCGATGTTTGTTGCGTAGTCTTCTTCGTGGCTCATGTGCGGAGGGTCGTGGGTGGAAACAAAAAATACACTGGAGTTGAAAAGGTCGTGTTGTGGTAGTAGTGTAAATGGGATAAAAAGTTTTTTTGAGACGGATGGCACGGACACCCGTCCACGTGACGCGCGGTGCGCGGGGTCTTGTGGTGCATCTAGTCCTTGCGCGTTGCGGCCGTCTGTCTGACGCGCATTTTCATTTGGACTATATCTATTAATATATAACTCCACGCCTTCCAATAGTCGCCTACACCTCGAGAAGACCGAAAGAGCGTTTCCATGCACATCGAAGCACTGCAGTGGTATGAGCGTATTTTTTGAACTATCCACAGAGATACTCGCTTCGTGGTTCTTTTAACTCGAGAATCGCCGTGGCTCCTAGTCATACTTGCCAGGCCCGGAGATTTGCACAATGCGAGATTCAAAAATTACGATCCACCCACTATTGACGATTGAGAGCTTTGTCCGCCCACGTTGGAAGCACGAACGACGCTTGGTGGACTCTCGAGTTGTAGTATTTAAATAGTTCCCTCTCGTCTTCAAATACGCGTAAAGGAACCTGCAAGTTCTTGGAGTCATCTTGCGTGGCAACTATAAGTCCCAACTGGCCACTTGTGTATGAAGGCATGTAGCATTGACAGTACTCGATGTTGGAAAAGACCTGCGAAGCTTTTTCAAGGAGGCCCGACAAATATGGAAGGTTCAACCAGATGTTCTCGCTGCTCTGCATGACAACAACGCCGTTCTTTTTGAGCGCATTGTTGAGCAAGTTGTAGTAGTTCACTTGGAAAAACTCTTCGGCAGGACCCTCTGGGTCTGAGGAGTCAGTGATGATCACGTCAAACTTTTCTGTCTCATCCACGTCTTTCAAGTCCATCAAGTACTTGAAGCCATCCTGGAGCAAAATGTTCACGTTCGGGTGATTATGGAACTTGGCCATTTCAGGCAAATACTTGATACTCAAATCGATGACTTGCTTGTCAATCTCCACCATGGTGACGTGGTCTACACCCTTGCCGATATGTTTCACCAATTCTCTGACAACTCCGCAATCACCTCCACCAATGACTAACACTTTGGAAGGTTTTGGATGACTCATGATCGGCACATGGGTGATGAGTTCCTGGTATGCAAACTCATCTCTTTCGGTGCATTGAATGATGCCGTTCAAGATCAAGACATTGCCGAAAGTTGCCGATTCGAATACAAGGATGTCCTGATACGGAGACGTCGAATGGTCCAAGATCTTGACTACCTCCAATCCAAAGGACTGGCCCCGGAAGGCTTCGTCACTGGTCTCATGAAACCAGTATTTCTCATTAATCTTGCTGATTGAAGGATGCGAGAAGTTGGCAAGGTCGATCATTTTTGATTCTCTTTTGAGTGGTCGCGATGCGATTTTTCGCATCTGCCTTATTTTTTGAGCGTCGGATTGCAGGTCTCCCCGCTCGAAAGCGTGGTTTCGCCCGGACAAGGTTTTGGCGACAATGCTATTTCTGAGTGAAGTAATACTGAATTGTTGTCTTATTGGCTTGACACTCAAATCCTTTCCCCTCTTTTGGTTTTGGTACTTTTGATTTCATGGGTCTCAAAGCTACTTCATCTAAACTCACCTCTCTCGCGTATGCCCAAATTATTAATTCTAGTTGGACTCAGGCGCCGCTAAATTGAAATAAAGAACTGCGTATTTTGCTTCAATACAGTGATCTATAACACAAACAATGGTTCATGGAAGTCTCTGCTCAAGATTGTCTTGGGCCGGCTTTAAGTAACTAAGTAGTACTTGACTCAGGAAAGCCAAAAGATTTCACATCAAGTTCAACAAGGGATTGAAACAAGCACATGTGCATCTTTTTGGATAATAATTCTTGCAAGTTATATGATTAAGCTGAAGTAACAGATAAATTGCTTTCAGAACAAACTCACTAATATCCTCGTTCAAAGCCTCTCACATACTCGCCCCGCGTCTGACCCCACACTAGAACTGCCCAATTTAAAATGCGACGTGAGTTCGTGAGTCGCTTGAAAAAACTACCACAAACGTACCATTTGCTTCAAAACATACATAACAAATACACTGGTCTTATGTTTGTCTTTCCAGCTTTCAATGACAGCTACAAGACAAGAAAGCGGACCTTTCAGTGCTGTAAGAATTGCAGGGTAAAGAGGGTACGGTGTACCATTCTGGATTCAAGCTACGAAACGGAGGGGTGTGATAATTGTAAAACACAGAAAGCAAGGTGTGATTTAATCAAGACTCCGAAGTCAAAAAAAGACTCTTCAAAGAGTCATGTGAGACGCGTTTCAAAAACTGAGGCTACGGGCGCTAGTGTTGAGATTGCTACGTCACCCAGCTGTCCGAAAAGTTTCAAATCGTCTTCTTCTGCCTCTTCTACAGTAACCCCAGGGAGTGCATTTCCTTTGTACTCAAACAATGTCTCGGGTGTACCAGAAATTGCGCAATCTGCTCTTGTCGGAAACCACGTGGAAAGAATGTCGAAGACAATTGCTACCCCCAGGGGACCCTCTATATCCTTAGGACCTGAGGCTTTTCGAGAGTTACCTCGTCCAATAAGTCACCAAACTGACCCATCTAGTATTAGAAGCTATTGGGATCAAAACTTGACTCACATGGGGCAGCCACAGACAATACAAAATGTACCACTCTTGAGTAATATGCGCTCATTGCCGGGCCTTCCTCCTGGTATACCTCCATCGTTCTCATCACCATATAATCATACCCAGTCTTTACAGCTGCCAGCTGTTTTACGTACTGAAGTCTCGTCCCCAATTCCACAACCCTTGAAGACCGAACTGGTCGTAGAAAGCGCTAGACTTGCGCCAGCAACGCCCAATGTCGCCCGAGTTCCGATAGCTGAGCTCACTTCTGACAGTAAATTGGGCGACACGGCTTCTTTGGATAGACTTTTGCGACAAAAACCTATGAATCCCGATCAAAATCTCTCCCGAACATATCTGCAGCTATCTAGCTCAGTCGACAGAACTATTAATGAAATAGATCATAAGTTCTTGAAGCAGTGTTTCGGATTCAACAGCACCATCCGCAGATCCAAATATCATTTCACCAAAGCTGTCATAGGAAGGCGCGGAACCAAAGAAACGGGTGTAAATCCTTCAGAACTAACAAGGACACTGAGGATCAAGAGCAAGTTTCTTGACAAGTCGAATCTTCTCCAATTCAAGTTCTTGTTAAGTCTTCACGCTTTTACCCTTAATACTCCAGGATTCTACAATATTTCAGACGAGGATCTAATCAAATTGTTTGAAATCTACTTTTACAAAGTAAACTCAATTTTCCCCATTGTTTTCGAAGCCGAATTTTGGGAATTGCATAAGAGAAAACGAATCCCAAATATAATCATGTATGCGATCGTTCTACTCGCTGCTGGAGATGAACTTTCTGAACCAATATTGGCAAGATCTTTCGTACAAAACGGCGACTCTTTCAAAGAAAACTGTGCACGCTTTCTTCGAGAACTCGAGATGAAAACGCGACAACTTTTGGAATTTTTGCCTGAAGTAGGAGATACAGAAAAGCTAGCTCGACTCATCACCCTGCTTCTCTTGTCGCTAAACTTTCGTTCTAACAAGATTGGAAATGAGCAAAGTAGCAGTGATGTCGGTGATTGTATCAGCTATGCGTATTCGTTGCTTATACACAATCAACACTTTCATGACATGATTGTTCAAATGGGTGCTGCCAAAAAGTCCATATACTTGAGAAATTTATGGTGGGTGGTATTGATCTTTGATCGTTTCAACGGTGTACTAAATGGTAAGGCGATGTTTATCAAAAGACTCGACTTCAACATAAAGAGGCCCATAGATGTACCGCATTTGAACCAATTAGTCATTCTAGCTTACGCACTTGAAGACACTATGGTGGCTGGTTTCAGACCACCAAGATCTTTGGAGAAAGGTGGTACAGTTGTGAAAAGTGAGTATTTTGATGGAGACCCAAGCTTTTTGCCTAGCCAGATTATAAGCGAAGAGATCAAGATTCTTGAAAACTCCCACTTTATCGAAGAAAAGCTTTCATTGAACACAATGCATGATGTTAATTCAACCAATCACTTACCTGATCTTGATGTTAAAGTTTACCGAGATCGGAATGTTTTCTTTATGGAAAGACTTGTTCGGCATCAAATTCTTCTTATTCTAAGAACGGGTCTGTTCAAGAACCTCCGCGAGGCATCTCAGTTGGACGAATTTAGTCTCAAGCTATCCAAACGCTTGTTGGAGATGTTTCAGATGTTGAAGGGTGGACAAAATCATAAACTAGTGATGACACATCCGATGATTCCGCTGATTTTACTTCTTGCGTTTTCCATACCCTCATTTGCTCGCTCTCATTTGTTAAATAAAAGAGGAGAGAACCCAGACATATCGCCAGAAATGATTAATCAAATCACTATGCTTAGTGATGGTATTTTGGACGAGCTCAAAAATTTCTCTACGAAATGGTGGTTTGTACATGAGGTCATTGTATCTCTAGTCAAAAGACATCCAAAATCTACAAAGGAACGAAATGATAAAGCACCTCATTTGGACTACTTTACGCCTAAGGATCATATGATATCCATCAAAAGTCTTGTTCGTGATGTGGGTGATGCAGAATGCGTACTTCCGTCGCTGCTTTCGATCACCTCGCCGGGATTTTACGATGATGTCATGCAAAAAGAAGAAAGCGATGCCGAGGATGATCAGAGCAAAGAGCTGTCCGCACAAGAAACCACTTCAGCATCTCCTGCTCCTGAACTCAATATTTCCCAAACACCAGTTACTATTCCGGAGTATGACTACCAAAACGCAGAATACAATGATCATATTGATGAGAGTACAGGTAGTGTTTCAATTGCAGATGATCTCAACTTCGACGTTGCCCAACTAGCAGAAATGGTGAGCTCAGACGCGAATTTTATTCCCAATGTGATGGACTATTTTTCAGAATCACAGCTCAATTTCTTCTTCTGAGCACATAACTCTGCATGAAGGAGGTTATTGTGTATGCAACTCTGGTCTACGGTAGGTTAGTACCCTTGCAATTGGTTCGAATTCCAACAAAACAAAGCAATGAGTTCGAGTGCCAAGAAAGCCAAAGGCATATCAATTTATCATTACGACGAACATCATAGCGCTGACAGAACTCATCCCTCGAGCCCCACTCAATTGAAGTACAATAGCCTAGATAATATTTCGTTTACTCTACTTTCAGAGGGGAGATGCCCGAAGCCGTCTATCTTCTTAGGGCACTCTTCGCACTCTTCTCTTGGCGTTTATTGTTGTTTCTAATTTGATTGCCGTGCTGAACGCGCACTAAGTTTATAACCCGCTTGGCATGTATCCACGGCATTGTATTCCCTCGCATCAGAACAAGAAAACGGCACAGGTGCAGTTCTCACCAGACTCCTCGCGCGAAGTTACAAAATGCGTGCGCTAACCAGGAAGATAGTCACGACAGGCTTTCTCGTTACCTAAGTTAAGCGAGGGCAGGTGAAGCAAGAAAAAAGAAAAAATCTATACAACATAAAGCCAACCAAAAGGCAAACCACACACCCAAAGATCAAAGAACGAAAAGAACTTAGCCCTTCCGCTTTATCCGAACAAACATATCACAAGAGGTTCTCTGCTTCAAGATTATTTTTTTGTTTCGGAACACACCACCTGCGAGTATTTCCTCCGACATTCCCCTGTTCTCCGTTTCCTGAAAACACAGCAACACCTTTTAACAAACGTCGAGCAGTTGTTGACGAACATATCGCTTGATACATCAATATACTGGATTCAGCTGATTCTGCTCAGAAGCCCAGCCATACTCACTGACATTTCCCCAAAAAAAAAACTAGTGGCAAACAGAACGAGCCACACTATGACAAATATCATGATCGCAGAAAAAGCGGCAAACACGTTTTTTCATGCTGGGGAAAACTCGTCGCTGATTCCCACAGTTGGGATTCTCGTCTGGATTGTGATGATTTTTACATATGTGTTCAAAACCGTGTGTGAGAAGTCTAGAAAAACCTATGGAGACACAAGCAAACAAGATCAAGAGCAACACAATTTGTTCCCCTCTATAGAAAACCCCGCTATCAGCCGCGAGCTTCCCGAGAAACCAATCGTCGAAGCATTTCCACAGCCTTGTTCTACAGGCTTGACTACCCGTATGTTGCCCTTCAAGAATAACAAAGGCGAAATTGAGTGGGTCTTGACTGATGACGTACAGCCTGGAAGAGAACTTGATGAATTCAAAGCAAACCCAGACACATTCAAGACGGCGCCTCCGCTCTCAAAAACTGTGAAAAATAGTAAGACCTCTGCGATCCTTTCCCCCGTGACATCGAATTCCTCCAACAATGAATCTATCCCCGAGAAGAAGAACGATTCATCCGTGTCACCTCAAATCAACACGCCTTCCTCTTCTTCCAGCGAGGACCATAAGGAAGATATGAAGGAGGGTGAGGTCGATAGTGAAAGTGGGCCCCTTGAACATGAGTGTCCTCACTGTGATGCTAAATTTAGAATGCGCGGCTACTTGACCCGTCACTTGAAGAAACATATGCCCCAGAAAGCTTATCAGTGTCCCTTCCGTGAGAAATCGTTGTACAAAGACGAGAATGACAATATGCACCAGTGCCACCCTAGCGGTGGGTTCTCCAGGAGGGATACTTATAAGACTCATCTCAAGACCCGTCACTTTAAGTTTCCCTCTGGTACTCCTATAAAAGGAAGAAGTCAATCCTCTGGAAACTGTTCCATGTGTGGTGAATGGTTTGAAAATGCCGAAATCTGGAGTGAGATCCACGTTGAAGGAGCTGAATGCAAATATTTGCCAGAGGGCTTTCAGGGTAAATCCAGAATCAAAAACAAGATCAAGAAGCAAATGGCACGTTTAATGAGGGAAGAAAAGAAATCGAAGTTGAGATCAAAAAAGAGCTCCACATTTGACTACGTGTCGCCAGGAATGGGTACGCCCAATGTGGCGATAACACCACTGATGAATGTGGCGATTACCCCGCTGATGAATGTGGCGATTACTCCGCTGATGAATGTGGCGATTACTCCGCTGATGAGCAACCCCTCTCAATATGAATATGAGGACTCCCCCACTCAGTCTTCTTGCTCGTCAATGGGACCTCAGCGGTCAGCACACCCGGTATTCCATGATCCATTTCCACGGGATACCTCACAACGCTCGTTTTACGCGAACTCGCCGTTATCGGATCAAAATCTCGTAGTACCTCCATTGACTCAAGCAGATGACTTTGATGACGAATTTTGTCTTGATACAGAGCAAATGAGTATGCACATCATTCAGCCTATTCTTCACCCTCAAGAATTTCACGGAGGTAACTTCTTTCGCCCACCTGAGTATGCCGTGCCGAACCCCGATCCCACAGGAAACACTTTCTCGCAGTTCATTCGATGAGCATTGTTGTCCAAGGAATCATTCGATGTTAAATGAACAAAAAATCGAGAAAATACGTGACGATTGTACGATATAATTAGGCTGGGTTGGGAAGGATTTACGTGGGTGATTTCATGTGATATTACATCTTTTATAGTGAATTAATAATAAAATCATCCAAATATTTCGTCTATAGCGTTTTTCTTCTTTTTCTCTTTCTGCTTCTTCTCTTTCTTCTTCTTTCTCGGCTTGTCACTGAATATGCTTTCAATGTCATCTAGTTGTCTTTTGGTCGTGGACGTTCGCACCACGCCAGGAACCATTATTTGTGATTCCCTTGTTTCAGCTTTGGTTGTCTCCATGAAGTGTATCTCTTCGCCCAAATCATCATCAGCATTCAGGTCGGGGAATTTTGTAAAGGTACGGTGAGATCCCACGTTTACAGTGGAAGATGCAACTTTGTCAGCAAGTCCTTCCATACTTGTGATTAGTGTATGGAGAGCACTGACACTCGCCACCAATGCCAACCCCAAACTGACGAACTGCCCAAGTGCCACAATCCCATTAAAAGAATAAAAGCATCTTGTGACAAGCGTTTTTTTATCATCGAACATGCCACTCCGAGGGCTTCCGCGTGCAACTTCTCTTTAATGGCGTATTTTGTCACCTCTTCGAAATGGTAAACCGCTCGTAGGATTTTCCGCACTGATCTATGAAGCTGGTTTAAGTCTTTCCACCAAACAGCAACTCGATGCTGGTTGCGGTTTCTGTGACATATGAGGTGAAGTATCCCGTATTCATTCTCGAGCTTTTGCACTATTTCAGGCGAGAAAATCTGTTGAGAGGTTTTCACAGTCATCTTGAGATTCTATGTCGTGGTTTAACTAGCGGTGGGTCATTACGGTCATGCAGCTAGAGTATATGGATGACTTTGATCAACCGGAATATAATCGTCTAATGAAGTAATTTTTTGTATACGAGGAGTAGGTCAACAGAGGCTATTTAGAGGCCGCATATTGTGTTCCCGAAAAGCCGTGCGACAGGGGACGTCTTGATGACTTGAGACGGAGAGCATCCAATTTGAAGAGAATAATCAGACACTTGACATACACTATGAATTGTATGCAAATTTGTCGACCCTCATGCTTTTCTCATGATCTGCAAAGGTCATAAACTCGTAGGCTTGGAGAATGCTGATTCGTGTGTTCGGCCGAGGTGTCTCGAATGACCCCTCATGTGCACCCATTGCACACTAGCTCATCGCGAAAAACGGCAAGCCACATCTTCTATTGCATCAAAACAAGTTTTCTCGATGGACACAATAATTCACAAAGCAAGGGCATTCCTTCAAAGCTCTCAGGAAGCAAAGGCCTTGGATTTGCTCACGCCGCAAATACAGCAGCATCCAGAAAACGTACTGCTCTTGCAAGTTTTTGGCGAGGCCTTGCTTGAGGCTAACGATGTTGAGACCGCGTATACTGTCTTGACGAAAGCCACCCAATTGGATCCGGAAGCAAAGCTAGGTGTCGAAAAGTTCTTGTACTTGGGGCAAATCATTGGAGGCCAGGATGGCTGTTCGTTATTAAATATTGCCATCCAGAGATTGCAAGATCAATTGCAAAGTGTCCACGACAACCGGGGCGGAGACGACCCAGTCTTGCAAGAATTGTCAAAATTATATCCCACATCGGAAGTCTTGGCGTTTTACCTAATAAAGAAATTGAACCAGGCGATATTTGCAGAGATTGAGATCTGGATGACCGATTTGTGTATGGAACCAGAGGCAGAGGGTGAGTGTGACAAGTTGATATCCCATTCCTTGGCACTTGATGACTCAAACCCCGAAGCATACTCTCTCTTAGCTCTGATTCGTATTTCTCAGCAGAGACAGGCTGATGCCGAAGAGGCTTTGAGCAAGGCCTGGCAATTATTCTCCCAGAAAAAACAAGACTTGGAGGTTCAGCAAAATCAAGAGGGTGAGGAATCCTCATTTGAGTACATTGAACTAGTGCAGCCCTTGCTCGGGCTCGCCCGTTTTGCCATTGAATTGGGGATTTACGACCTTGTACCCGAGATCTCTTCGGCTGTGGCGGAAATCAACGACAACGCTTTGGACAGCTTTTACTACGAGGCTTTGGCACACAGCTTAAAGGCAAAGCAACTCTACGCCCAAGCCACATCTTCTACTGAGGATTACAGAGAATTCCAGGACGCGGTTATCATTGCCAGTGACAATGAGGCTATTCAGGCCATTGTCAATGATGCAAAGGCAGCTCTCACTCAAGGATACCGTGTAATCAATAGTGCCGATTTGGAGGCATCGGACCCTGAGGTTGTTGAACAGGTGAACGCAATGCTTGCAGAATTTGGCGGGCCTGTGATGGCCGACTTGATGCCTTCACGCAGAACTGCCGATGACGATGAGGAAGAAGGTTGGGAGGATCAGATTCTCGATGACGAGAACTGAATGGGGGTCTCATATTGCAGTGCAACATGTTTAGAATAGAGCATCATCAAATATATAGCTGGAAGACGGTAGATTTCTCTCAAATTTTGAGTCAAGATCAGCTTTGGGCTGTTGTTTAATAGCAAAGAAAGTGTGATCAATACGCTGTTGACTGTTTATTGTGATCAATGCGCTGTTTATTCTTTATTGTCTTCTTGCCAATGAATCCTCTCGTGGTTCGTCTGTCACTATTCATGAAATCTATCTGCGCGGAATGTGCTCACGATGATCATCTCACAATACACATACCTCACGCCTCTTCAAACCTGTTTTTTGGGATATGACAACCAACCATAGACCGACTTTGGAAAGTAAGCGAGGGCGTGACGTGGCTATCAAAAATACCATCCAGCATGCACGTTCTGGACCAGGCCAGAAATCTTTGAAGCTCCGGCTGGATATCTCTGGTGCTCAAATTGATCATGTCCGAGGAAGAAAAGCATTGGATGAATTAGAAAGGGAGACTAAGCGGCACAAAACATTGGACGAATTTCTGAATACTGGATCGTTTTCACAAGTGGAAGGGGATGGATACGAGAGCTTTGACCAAAGCAGTAGCGAGGAATTGCTTTCCGTGGCAAAGTGTACAGTAGGCGAATCCAAGACGCCCACAGATATCAGAACAAATAAAAATGCCGAAATTTTGGTGACAACACCTGTAAAAAGGGAATTTAAGGACACAAATGAGGCTGATTTTAACAAAAAAGATGCCTTACAAAGAGAAGAATCTGCCAATAAGCTTGGTATAACAGCTTCCTCAGGTAGTGATGACGATGACAGTGACGAAGACGACACCAATGCCCTTATGGAAGAATTAAGAAAGGTCCGAGAAGAGAAAAAAAGCTGTGCTAAGCAGAACACAGCTCTCATCAGCAATCCCCTCATCGCATCAGATGGAAGCGATACGGTAAATAAGAAAACATCTTGGAGGAGTTCAGCCATTTTCTCGAAAGCAAAAAAAGTCCCAGACCAGTCATTTACTACGGATACGTTAAACTCGGATACTCATAAACAATTCTTGGCAAAGTATTTCCGCTAATTTCTGTATTAAATTTTGCATCACAGGAAACAATATCAAGTCAAATCATCTGGATGATTAAGACGGGCATCTAAATGTGCAATATCTTCTTTCAAGCTTGCTTCTTCGACGGTCTTTACCAATTCCTTTGTACATTTTGCAATATCAAACGAAATTCCCGCAAGTCTCTGTTTGAAATGCCTGTCTGCGAATTCCACATCTTGCTTTTCTGTGTTGGGCTTACAGAGAGCGTTCATGCGATGATTGCAATCTTCTAAGCTTTTGACAACCCAACTTCCATGCTCTCTCAACAGGTAGTTCCTTGTTTGATTCATGGATGTGTTGGTAGCTTCGGTCATTTGTTTGATAACTTCCGAAATGGCGCCAGAATTTTCTCGCAATTCCCCTCTGGTGGCATCTGGTTTTTTGATGGCCGACAACAAATCTTGAATAGTAGAAATAACTTGCACAGTCTGATGCTCTAAGTATAACAACACTTGAGTCACTGTGTTGTCAGGGTCATCAATATCGAATAGGTCGAAATTAAATGTGGCAGCTGCCATTGACTTTCTGTAGTCTTGCCTTTGTCTGATCTCGTCTTCCTCTTCATCAAAGAAATCATCATCAGCGTCTTCGAATTCTTCCGGAGCGCCCTGCTCTTCAACCGCATCTTCATAATTCACTTTGCGCACTTTGAAAGATGGGGATTTAATATTGAGGCCAATCGGGGGCTTCAGTGCTGAACTCTTTTGCGCAACTGATCTGAAGGTGTTTGTCGTCGTTTCTCCGCTTGGTTTTGATAAAATATCCGGCTTTAACCCATCTGTTTGCAGCTCGCTTGATTCGCAATTTTCCAGTTCCTCCGGTGCTTTACCGTTAGCCGAAACTGACTCAAATCTCGTGTTTTCCACTGCGGGTAAACCAACGCTCAATTGACTCGCTGGCGTAACTCTCAGTGAAACTTGTTCCTGGTCACTTGTTGTGCCTGTACGAGCTCTGTCAATGACAGAATACTCGTCCATTGCCGTTTCAGTTGTACTTTCGTTTACGGAAAACGAATTCTGTTTTCTAAACGTTGTTGAATACATTTTGTTGCCTTCATTGACAGGTGCAACTCTATTGCGAGAAAAATCGTCTGCATTTTCAGAAAAGTCGGGCTTTTTTCTATGTTCCTCGCCTTGATCTAGGCTCGTAAAAGCATGAGATTTATCATCCGGCACACCAAAAAGCCTGTCGTTTGTGAACAGAGTTGACTTGTCACTCTTTATCAGACTTTCGTATATCTTAGGAGATAAAGCTTGATCATAAGATTCAATCAGCTTGCCATCTTTTGACTGAAACAGTCTATCACTTGTTGAAGAAACAATTCGGTTACCTGCAGAAGACAAAGACTTATCCTTCAGTCCAGATTCCGCAAAGCTTTCTGTCACAATGGAATTCTTGTTTGTAATATTTTCGAAAGTTTCAATCGGCTGCTCATTAGTTGGAATGGATTGGTTCAAGTCGGTTTTCTTTCCATCCAATACTTCATTTGATGAAACTGAAAGTATCTTGGGTTTATCTGAAATTCTAGATTGAATGTCATGATTCTTGCCGAGGTTGGCTTCAGATTCTGGAATAAATTCTGCATTCGGTTTGCTCCTTGATTGAGCCTCCATCTCATCAAACGAGCTACCAGCCTTCGAGCTCCTAGTCTTTCTATCATTCGATTCATTGTATGACTCGACTTCATTTGCTTCAAACGCAGGCACCGCGTTGTCGTGCGTGAATCTCTCTCTCAAGCTCTGAAAGATGCTCTTATTTCCTATCTGAGCGCTGTCTCCAGATAGTGGAGAACTCACAGCTTCGGGAATACGATGACTTTTGTTCGACTCTACAGAGAGAGTATGTTTGGTTCCCACGTTCTGAGATTTTTCGTTCGGTACCAAAGAAGCAACTTTCTGTCTTGAAACATCCGTCTCAAACTTCCTGACTTTATCAAGTATACTGGGCGAGGCCAGTTTCGTGGGAGTCTTCGTGGTACTTTCTGTGGATACAATTTCATTTTCCATCTGCTTGAAACTACTCTTCAGAAATTCAGCTTCAGCTTCAAAATGCTTGTTGCCACTCTCAATTGCTTCAATATCAATATTCTTATCGTGTTCGGTCGCGTTAGGTTCATCTTTCGACTTGGAACCGAAAAGTTTCTTGAGCGATAACTTGGCACTCAAAGACAGTTTACGCTCCACGTCAGGAGTTTGAACAGAATTTTGGATGTCACCTTGCTTTTGTGTCGGCAGACTCTGGCTTGTTGCTCCATGCTCAATCGGAGTTAATTGGGTATGGATTGGCGTGGGGCTTGAATCTGTGATCTGATTATGTGGGGTAACAACCCCACTTGACTGCTTCTCTAGATCTGAGCAGGACGAGCCTGACGCTTTCTTCTGAGTAATCTTCAATGGCTTCACTTCCATCACTTCATGAGCGACTTCTTCTGATTTGTGACTTTTGCTCCGGAAATTTGGACTAGGAGATGGAACGTCCGACGGATAGCTAAATTTCAAAGATGAAATGAAATCACAAACAGCAAATGTGAGCTCACTGACAGCTCTTTCAACGATGACTTTAGGCATAAGAGTTGGATATATCACAAAGTATCTTGTGGCAGTCAAGGCATGACTTGCGGACTCTCGGATGGCATCTGCGTGACCGTTATCGCTGAAGCCTTTTTGCGTCCCTTGACTGGCGATTGCATTGGCTGACATCGCCACTGACGAAATCCTCTCAAAAAACAAATCCGCATCAGGATTAGAAATGTCAAGCGCTGCATAAAACAAATCAACAGACGCAAAAAATTTAACGGCAGTTTCGTACGATAACAACCCATCCGGAGAACGGAATTTCGTCAAATTCATTGACATTGCCGGATTCCTTGACATGTTTTGTAGTTCTCCAGTCTTTAACGATGCATACTTATCCTGCCATTGAGATATTTCACTCTTGAGCTTAGCTTCCTTCCGGGAGAACAGAGTTTGTTCAGCTATCTTTGGGGCGTCCTCTAATTTTTCATAGAGCCTCCTCAATTCGGTATTTATCTCAAAAGGCCCGGGCTCCCCAATGACAATGTGCGCGTTCTGTGGCTGCGCTTCGCGAGTAATGGTGTTTTTGGACTTGGGGCTGGACAACTTCAAATTTTGATTTTCCAAGCGCAACGAAGCGTTTGAAGTTTTTAAGTCTTCGAGTTCATTCTTGAGCAACAGAACCTGTTCTAGTGATGTCAAAGTAGCCTGTTGAGGAGACAGGGAGCCGACTTCGTGGCTGATGCTTTCGATAAGAGCTTCTAAAGCCCCGTGCTGCGAAAGCACACGGGAGTGCTTCTCGCTGAGATCACGAAGATCTCTCTGTGCGGAGTTGTGAGTTTCATTCAAGTCTGAAAGCTGTGCTTCTACGTTGGCGTGCAGGTCTGTCAATGTAGCCAAGCGAGTCTCAGCATCGGAATGAGCAGCGATTAACGATTTATGCTCCTGCATTAAGCTATCATAAGCAGACTTTAAGTCCGCGTATCTGTCGTCGGCCTCAAGAGGCTCGGGAGCTGAGACAGTTTTCGGGGACTCCTCTATGGGGGCGCTTGGTGCGTGGTGATTGGCGAAGGCGTTCGAAAGCATTAGTTGCCTCGGCTCCTCGGAAATGCTGTTTCTGTCGTCCTGCAAGATTTGGTCGGTCTCTTCTTCCTCCTCACTGGACCACGCCATGTCCGCCTTCGTAGGCACGACTGTTGTGGGCTGTATGCCAATGGCCTGTTCGGCCACGTGCTTCCGCAAATCGGGCGTGGCAATTTCGTCTTGCAAAGCCGTGCTGTTGGCGGTGCTGGTGGCGTGCAGCAGGTCCGCCATGGAGGTAGAGTGCGTGGACCGGCGCACGTCTTGCCGGGCCGCGTTCCGCGGCATGCCCCGGTCGCTCGACACCGTTGAGCTCAGTTTCCGCGGCTGCGGTGTGTCTGCCGGTGCCAGGTCCTGGGAGAGCCGGGCATACACGGGCAGATCCGGGGCCGTGGGTGTTGGTGCCGGGCTGTGCAAGTTGCGCCGCTCGATCTCAAAGCTGATGTCCAGGACTAAGTCCTTGAAGCGCGACTGCGGTAAGGAAGACAACTTCTGGCGCGCCTGGTTACGCTTCGGGTGAAACGTCAGCTTGGGGAGCAAGAAGTCCGGCTCGGACCTGCTCTCGTCGATCCGGCGCCGCAACTCGTCGTACACTTCCGTGCTGAGCTCGCGGAACTGAGCGCCGGACAAGCGGAGAAGCTTCTCGCGCGCCCGGGCTGCCCGTGACGAGTTGGACTTGGCCCGCGTGTTGGAATCGTCGGATATGTCAAGAAACTGCTTGAGCACGCGGTAGTGGTGCAGCAAATCGGAGTCTGACATGGGCTGGCGGTGGTGTTCCGACGTGCGGGAAACCGGAATATGATGCGGGGATAAGGGCGCAGAGGCAATTTGAAAAGAACGGGGTGGTGCTTGGGAAAGGGAGCCTGCGGCCAGGGGTTTGCGGCTTTTGTGGGTGGTGTTTCAATGTTGTTGTGGATCAAACAACGGAGTTCGCACAAAGGGAGAGGGTCCGTGCGACACGCTGAGCCTATAGCGCGCAGAGCGAAAAAAAAATGGGAAAAGCGCGGCGGTACAGTCTGCTGCGACGCGGGCCGTGTTGTTGTGGTGTGGCCACTGATGGTGCTATCTTGCAGCGATGACTGGTGGGGGACTATTACATTTTATGGCCCGGCGTCTGATTAATGCCGCTTGCGTCAATAATTTCAGAGGTGGTAGGCCTTTCAAGACTGACGTGATTATCCTATGCGTGTGAAGCTGCTTGCTTCAAGTGACCTCGTCTGAATGCGAATATTGACTTGGTGATTTGGTGATTTGTTATCATTGTGTCATGTCAGTTGCTTCGCTACGCAGTTTTTTCATGATTCTTGATTTTCTATCTTTTTAACCTTGGGAAAGATTTGGCGTTTGCTAGCTGGTTCCAACTCATCAAGAATTTTCATTTATGATCGGCTTTCTCATCATCCATGTATGAAGATCGATTACTTTTCGTATGATCTGCGCGCAATGACTGTTGTTGATTCGCCTGATTGTTTTGATGTTGATCAACGCCAGCTGAGTTTATAATCTCCTTGGAGTAATAGTCGCTTTCGAAGTGTTTTCCAATTATCAAGTTTTTTTTTCTGTCGCGAGTTGATTTCTCTTTGTTACGAATTTTTATGGTCATTTCTTGACTTTATACTTATCGTGTTAAAGTCTCAATTTTTTGAGAAGTAATTTTATTGTGACCGTTCGCTCTCATTGTGCGATGACAAATTGAAGCTTCTTGAAAGTTCCGTTTTTTTGTGGAAAATATTGTTAATTCATGAACTTTACAATATTTTAGAGCCACTGCCTTAAATTCATGAGTTTTTTCTCTTCCACTGTCTGTCTTCACATCTTCGGATAATTAGTGCAATGGGCGGTGCTTTTATTTAGTCTCTCAGTAAGGCCCTTTTCCTCAGGCGCGTCAAGATTAGTCAAGTTGCACACCGCACATGTCCCAGACAACAGACATTTCAACACAACGATCACTATCTCTCAACGTACATTTTCGAATCGACCAGACAGCCATGTTTCGCCGGTGTCTGTGGGTCTTTAGCTCTGCAATCCGCTGGAATAAAAGGTATACTGTGGGCTCGACTATTTCCAATCTAAAGAAACTGTCGAATTAGGACATATGTTCGCTGCCCAAGGCCGTGAAGCTACAGTTCAGTACACACCAAGTCATGCGTATAGTCCAGGAGCATGCCGTTCCGCTGGGACTCCACCTAATCTGTGGAAATCAACGGCCTTGTCTCGTCAACAACCTCCACACTTACATCCGACTGGACATCAGAAGACTCAGCTGCGAGGCGTTGAGCCTCCTTCACTTTATGCGCCTTCGTAGATGCGTATCCTAAGGACTCTATTGTCTTGAGCATCTTCTCACTGACCTCATTGGTGAACTTCGTCACATCTTCATTCGTCTTGAGATTTTCTGTGGACATGGGCTTCAACACCTCGATGACAATTTCTCCCTGGTTGAACACTTTGTCGCCTGAATGGAATATCGTGCTGTAGTTTGAGACGGCAACAGGAGTCACCGGGATGCGGCCCTGCTTGGCTAGGTGGAATGCGCCCTTTTTGAAAGGAAGCAATTCCAATTTCTTGGCAGCGGACCTTGTTCCCTCGGGGAACATGAAGATGGAGCGCTTTTGTATCTTGAGCACAGAGAGGGCATTCCCCAATACTTTCCTCGCTTTCTCGCTTTTAGATCTGTCCAAAAAGAAGGTTTTTGACGCAAGCATAAACCAGCCCAAAAATGGCACATATTTCAATGAGTTCTTGGCAGTGACAGTAAACCCGGGCTGGAACAATCTGCCCAAAATCAAGATATCCAAAGCTGACTGGTGGTTTGAAACAACAACCGATGGGTTTTGCAAGAGATGTTCATTCTTAATTGTCACCTTCACGCCCAAGATTTTCGAAAAAAGAAAATGGAATACTCGGGCTACAGTATACTGAGCATACTCTTCTTTGCCCACTATTCTTAGGATGATACTGGCAAAAACACCGTAAAGGGCGCATACAAGAAGCAAGGAGCCGAAAACAAACGACTTGGTGTAGAACTTGATCTTGCCAAAGATTCCCATTTTTTTTTGTTCTGAAGTAAAGTGGTGAACGTAGGATACAGCACAACCTGCAGAAGACCTCCGGGAAATAGGTTTTGTTTGATGGGGCGACACCCGGCCTTTTCTTGGGCCGCGCGTTGCCCATATATCCTTACAAAACTTTGGGGCCAAGCGGCCCTAGGGAACTGGGTGCCGGACCTTTTTCCTCGGGATACAGGTGAGCAACCGTAGGCCCGGAGCCGATGACTCGTATTACGATTTTTATATTTTGACGGCAATTTGTCAAGAAGTATGATCAAACTTCTACTCACCAGATTCCGAGCTGGCAAGAATCAAGGTAAACATCGCTCAGAAACTCACTTCATATTACTCTTTGGATCTGCATCAAGTGAGATTTCCGCGCCTGAAACGCCGCGGTTCGCACTTCCTTAACTTCAAACACACAAGCAGGTTGTATTCGAGTCAAATATGGAGACAAGAAAAGGATTGCTCACTAAATTAGCCGGTTTCTCTGCTGTTGCTATCGGTCTAACCGTTGTGGGGAAAAAACACATTGCTTCTGCCAAGGAGAAAAGGCATAGTAAAGAAAGTGATGCTAGCTTGGATTCTGACCTCGACTCGGAATTCTTGGACAATGGGGTGAGACCAGGGTTCCCCAAAAACAACCCAAACTTGAACTACGAGAGTGCTCAACGAGAATCGCAGTATGTTGGTGCTGGTGTGGCTTATCTGACACGTACAAAGGGTGACCGCTTGAGTCTATGGAACGTGATCAAATCGAAGATGTCAGATAATGACGAATGAAGGTGCTTGCTAGCACCGTACGGTAAATATCGGTATTAAACACCGGCCTTGTAAATAGCAATTAACATAAGAACTCGCAGTTAATGTTTTAGTTTGTGGCGTTTTGATCCTGACTTGACGTGAGGTCTTCAAATGCAAGCTGGTAAACAAGGTTGGACTTCAAAAATTGGTTCAAGCACCAGCCACAAAGAAAATTATCTTGGAGCTCTTGCATTATCATGATGATATTAGACTTGATGTGATTGTCTGCGTTGAATAAATTAATGAATAACAACTCCATTCCTTTATTTTTGTCAAAAACAGTTAGACCGCCTCCGTGGTGGGAGGAGCTTCGGAAGCTTGTTGAAGTGTTTGGCGGCATCAAATAAGTCATTAACATAAATGTCTCCAACGATCTTCCACTTATCAAGTACTTGAGTATGTTAAACCAAATTTCCCTCTCGTTCACTCTGGCGCCGCCAACAGAGGTAGTCGTAACATTGTTTAGTTTCTGTAAGTAGTGCTGCAAATCCACCATGAGATCAAGCTCATTTGACAAATTCGGTAGATTGAGACTATAGCCAAATATTCCACTGTAGAGAAGATTCTGGAATTTGGATGCAATCGACTGATAGCATGAAACTTCAAGTAGTTTTGTGGTGTCACTGTGCCAGTAATATCCTACCCCATCCATCAACAAGGTCGCCAGACTTTTGTCAGACAAGGCTGGATTGTAGTTTTTCGAAAAAAGTAATATACGTACAATCTCATTTATATGTCTCCTTATGATGAGCTGCAAAGTAGTGAGATCATCATTGTAGCTGTATAGCGAGAGTTGCATGTTGGAGAGGAACTTCGCATCTTCTCCGACTATCGAGTGACGCGTAAATTCCGACTCCAGAATCTCCGGAGAAATATGGAATTCATTTTTGTCCAAATCGATAAACAAATCCCATAGCTTGTCGTTCGACTTGAAGAATGGGTTGATTGTGCCGGCTATGTATGAGTCGCATTCACTCAAGAGACTGATTTTAGATACATCGATAATGGGGAACACGTTGTAATGGGTTAGTAGTCCTGTCAAGATACCTCCTCCCGTAATCAATTTCAACGCTAGCAATACATGATCAATGATATACCCTGCAGAGTTTTCGTAGCTCATAAATATAATCTTCTTACCCGTCAACATTGCATTAATCAATACGATAATTGGCGGGGTCGCATGGCCATATATGGTGAGCTCGTTATTGTGCACATTTGAGGCCATTGTGGCATCTAGAATTCTCAAAAGATTAGGTTTGAAATTAAGATCTGTTGGATTCAAGTAGTCTCCGATTGTATCTGGCAACAAAAGGATGGGAAGTTTCACGGGGATTTTCATATTGTTGTAAGACACGATCGAGTTGAAGCTCAAGTCTCTTCGTATGAAAAAGTCTTCTCGAATTTGTTTGATTCCCAACAATCGGTTGCGGAAAGCTTCGTCAAAATATATCTTTTCGTTCAAAGGCAAATCAAGAATCGATGTTATGAGAAGTTTTTTTACTACCAGGTGATTCGTATGGCTCACCTGAAAGTTCTTGCAATTAATTGCATTGTAGAGTTGTTTCAATTCGTTTTCACTGCTGTTGGCATAGCATCTATCTAGGCCAATAATTATAAGCGGTTTAAAATGTTTAAAATACACCAATTTGGTGATTAAACTCAAAGCTTTGATCACAGAGCCTCTTTTCACCGTGGAATCTGAAACGTTGTTCACAATCGTGTAAACAAAGTAGGGCTCTAGTTCACTGTCTTTGGAGTTAAACTTGTACTCAAAGTCTCCTGTTTTTTTATTTCGATGCAACAATATCAATGTATAGTCTTCTTCTCTCTTGTGTATTTGGTCCGGGATTAGAAGCTCGGCGAAGAACGGGAGGTTATGTAAACCTGGAAGTTCGGAAGGATATTGATGTATAATTGACGGTCCTTTGTCCACGTGGAACTCACTTGATATTATGTAGTCAATGTTGGTCATTACAATCGGGAAGTTCAATCGGGGATTGTCGTCAAGCTCAATATGGGATCTGAAAAAGAATTAGAACCAAACAAACATAAAGGGGCTAAAGGAAGGCACGCCAGATTGGAGCTCGTCTATGGTTCTATTTTAAAACGGCAGGTTCAAAATTTTTTCATAAAATAGTGCAACTTGAACAAGATCCTGAACAATTATGCACTTTGGTAACTGTAGTACCAAGCTAAAGCCGTGATGATCAAGTTAAAATACGCGCGTCCCGTCCTCCACTTTGTTGTCTCAATTCGGAATTTAGATATGATCCCACACACATGATTTTCAACGAGCTTGTGGGATCGATCTCAAATGATGAAAATTGAATATTAATGTCATAATCGGCAAGCTTAACACAGCCATTCAAAAAATTACGTACACCTAAAAGAATAGATATCAACTAGTTGTTAAAGTAGTCTGCCATCTCCTGGTCCAACTGCTCTGCAGTTTTGGGCTCTGGCTTAGCTTGCTTTTGCTTAGTTTTCTTCTCTTGCTTAGCGCTCTTGGCTGTCTTGACCGCCTTTGCTTGAACCAACTCCTTTCTCTTCTGTTGAAGAAGTTTCTTCTTTTCCTGAAGCTGCTTCTTCTTCTGGTCAGGTTGCTCCTTTGTTGGTGCAACGTTAGCAGTAATTCTAGCCGTCAATGGCTTCTTACTTGGGTCGATGACTAATTCCAACTTCAACTTGCTGGCGCCACCATCAATAGGGGCATTGTTGTACTTCTCAATGGCCTTGACAGCATTCTTTGAAGACTTGAAAGCAATGGTAGCAACACCTTTGAAGATGCCTTTCTCGTTATAGTTCATCTGCACATACTGCACACCACCAATTTGTGATTGAAAAAAGTCCTAGAATGTTAGTTATGGTTTAATTGTAACCAATAAATAAGAACTGGTTGATTGCTGGACGACGGGTGTCGCTTGTGTTCGGGCGCATTGGGCGCATTTTCTTGTGCTCGAAATATCTCCAGAATTTCTGTGGGTATCCAATTTCCACGCTCCCACTCTCCTGACCAGTATGCTGATTAAGAAGTAATCTGAGCGATGTGAATTATCGAGCCTCCAATTCACGATATCATGGCAAATTTACCTAGGCCATCTTCGAATCCTTAGGCAAAAGTACACCTAGAATGTACATATTGGTCTCAACAGCAGCTGAACTTACCATTCGATCAGCGAAGTTCATCTGCAATTTGCACATGCATGGGTGTAAAGGAGGCTTTTCAGCCAGATTGTTTTGCTTCAAAACCACCCAGAATATGGCGAGAACATTCGGTCAAGAGGGGCTGGCGACTGCAGGAGCATTCAAACTGCCTTTGAAAGGGAATCGCCTTCTCAAAGACATACTTCAAATAATCAAGATGATAGTAAATTTTCCAGTCCTGCTGATATAAGCTTCCCAGGAAAATAACCTCTTTGCAAACACTGACGTTCCCGACCAACAATCTGACCCAGTTGCCTCTCACATTCCTGGCCAGCCAAAATTGTAAGAGGACTTATGATAATACAGATAAAAAGAGAAGTGAAATGAAATAAACGCTGTTTCCACCGCATGAAACTAACATACCTTGATGTTATCTTGTCTCAAGTCCTTTGGGAGACCGTGAGCAACAACTTTGGTAGCATACGTGAGATCCACGTTCGATACAGAAGCAGTAGCAAGTCTTGGGACAGGCTTGGTGACGGGCTTTTGTGCCTTCTTTGGCGTCACAAGTGGTTTTTTCTGAGCCTTTCCAACGCCTTTACCAACAGTCTTCTTCTTGTTGGCAACTTTCCTAGCCTTTCTGGAAGAAGAGATGATGTCATCTAACGATTTGTCTAACGCAGTGGACATATTTGAATGTGTTGACTTTGATTTGTTTCGGTTTTGATGTGTGTAAACGAATTCCACAACGAATTAGAAGATGTTGGTGCGTCCGGTTTTTCTTTAATCGGCTGAGCACGCCGCGAAGTCGCGAAAGGCCAAATTTTCTCTCGGCCTGGTGTGCTGGCCTACACACGCACACGTGCACGTGATCGCGACAGACAAAAACACAAATCGAGGGTGTCGGGACCCGCCTCTCCATTCCTATCGAATCACTTGTGTTATTCCCATCATGACGAACGAGGAACACCAAGCGAAAGTGCGAGAAGCGCTTCGGCTCAAGGCAGATATATCGCTATTGCTTCTGAACGTTCGTACCCAGGTGGCAATCGCGGATCGTGTCACCAATGAGAACCAGTATTTGCAAGACTATATAGGTTCCAGCATGAAAAATGGCGATATGAAATGAACAAACCATGTAAAAGACATTGGGTGGTATAATCTAGTTTACATTCATGGAAAGTCGGTATATCCTGGACTCTTTTCGCCTAGCTCTTCATGAAACAAAAGCTTTTTCTTAAGCGGGAAAGTCGGGGTGTCTCGATCACAGCAACAAATACTCAACGTGGCGAGTTTACGCTGTCAAAGCGCAGCCAAGCATTTTATAATATAAAAATAGCAGAAGCATGCAAGCATTCCAAAAGCTGCCGCTCTGCGGAAGTTGCATTGGAATATTCTTCTCACTAGCCCACTCCCAGTGAGAAATCAGTGAAAAATCAGATGAAACCAGTCATAATGTCTCTCATCGGCATCTGCAAATAATCACTTGTTGCAACCCCAAGGCGGATTCCGGCCGCTTATCGTAGAATTTTGAATTTCGCGCGCACAACTCCGGGGTGTGATGGGCTTAAGTTATACTTTGATCAGTTTTAACCGGGCAACTGTGAAAGAGGGGTGACTTGATCCGACGAGTCATGCAGTAGATCTGAAATTTACGGCATTGCTAAGCCAAGCAACAAGCAATTGCCTTACCCCGGATACTATTGCTGGTGCAGTTTTTATTGGAGTCAGTTTGCATGCGAAGAAGCGGCCCGGGAGCAGACCGGGTTACGAATTTCTGCAACAGGAACAATTTGCAAGCGTGCAGAACCGGCGATCGCGGCGGAGGCGGGCCGAGGACTGAACAACCAAAGCCCCACACTCCTCAGGTGCATTTCCACATTGGCTATCGGCAAGCGACATTTGCACCAAGGCCCACCAAAATTGATAAGTATTTTTATAATGATACTCTAAAAACTATAATTTTATAATTAATACTATGTCTGTTGTAAGACTATTGGTGTCAACACCATCAAATGAATTGAAATTGTAGGCGTCCACGAAGGGGCGGGATCAGTCTTGCGTTTCTTGCTTGACTTGAATACGAGACTCGTTTGCAAAACCTTTGCAAGACCCGTCCTCAATGTGATACTTGAACCAGTCAGAATTGCTCTCAAAGTACTGGAAACACCCGGCGCAACGGCCTCCTTGACTTCCTCTCTCGCTAGACTTCGTGCGGGGTGGATAAATGAAATGTAAGGCCTTCAAGTGAGTTTTATATGTATCCTTACGGGAAAACCCCCCTGTAAGATGGCACTTTGTTCCAGACTTTCCAGTTCCACAGTACTCTGAGTCTTCTTCCCGGTAAAATGGGCAGACGAATGCCTTGGCATTATTATGCTTCCGAAGGTGGCGAGTCAAATACGACTTAACCTTGAAAGCTGCATTGCATTCACTGCACGTGTATCTAGCCTTGTCTTTCTCTTCATCTTCAAGTTTGATCGATTGTTCTTGTAAATTTCCGGACGACACAGCTTGGAATGTCTGGGAGCGAAAGAATGTGTTCGGATACGAGGAAGTTTGTGGTCCACTGATCTCAAGCAGGTTTGTGCCCACCGTCTTCGATTTCTTCTGGCTCTGATAGACCAAAGGTTCCTTTTTGAAAATTGGGTCCTCGGAACGAATATCTAAGTCGGAGGCAGCAGGTGAATCAAGTCTTCTTTTTCTGAAATTGGTTGGCAAGCTTTCGTCCGAGTATACAGTTGGCTGTCGTGGGAAAAACATCTCGTCTAGAGGGGAGTTTGACGATTCAATTGATGAGCCATAGCTCAGGCCATCATTGAAAGACCCATGCTTAAAGTCAGTAAACTGAGTGTCTAATTGAACGCCGCTGGCCATGATATCGAAGTGGCTTTGATGGGATTCTAAAAAGTCTGCTTTGAAGGCTGGAGAAATGCTGCTATTGGGTTGCAAGAGAGGCATTCCTGGTGCTGGAGCATGAATTTGGGTTTGGTCAAATTGGAACCGTTTGTTGTATGAGAGACCAGAAGAAAACAGGTTTGGGGAGAAGTCGTCCATCCCAAAGTGGGAAGATTGATACGACAGGCCTAATTCTGACTCCCCAGACTTGTCAAGATTTGGAAAGTGAGCGGAGTTCAACAGATGTTTCCCCATTCCAAATTGCATTTGATCATGGAAAAATTGAGGAGGGTTTGATGGAACATAGTTATCAAAGATCTCAATTTGACCATTTTCACCGTTGAACGAGAGTTCCAAGTCATCAGCGGCGCAAACCGTAGCCATTCCTCTAATCGTGTTTGTGAAATTGGATACCTTGATCTTGTTTATCTCCGGAAAGAGGTTTTCTGTTTTCATAGGGTGTCTCCCGACTGTCAGTATATATATTTTGAACAAAACGCCAAATTTAGACTCAGCCGAAATGAGTTTCTTGCTCATGAGCAGAAGCTCATCATGGTTCCTGAGACCTATCTCGGTTATTGCAGTGAACAGCATTTTGCCATGAAGCAACAATGTATTTTACCTCTTTCAAGAGATTAAGGAAACAACTTTTGGACGACTGGAACTGACAAGGGAGGAACTCTCGTCGTCAGAGACTCCTTCGATATGTGTCTTTCCGTGGAAGAATAATGTGTGAAATGTGAAAAACAAATCCACACCAGAAAGAACAAGAAACAAGATGTAAGCGTCTGTGTAAGCAGAATCTGATGGGAAATTTGAAAGGGGGACATTGTAAGGGTTTTATCGGAATACAAGGTACGAGCAGTGCATCCCGGACTGTATATCGCAATTTTCAGAGTTGACAGTTTCAATTCTGCGTCTGCAATTCGAAGAACGTCCTTGTGGGGGTTTCATTTATAAATTTTGAAGTCTTCTCAAATTTCCGTTTGCTTCTTTTTTCTTCTTGCATTTGCTTACATTTTGAAAATTTGGTTAAAACGAGAGCCCACGGTAATGTCAAACCGCAAGCATTCAGTAGGATAGGCCTTTTGAGATAAGAGGATGTACCATGGGCATATGCATGTCTTGCACGTCGGTCTAGGGCTGCATACACATCGGGGCTTTCGGCTCGCAATAACAAAACATGGAGCCGCGCGGAGATAAAAAAATGCCGTATTGTTGCAGGATAATTTGGACGAAAATGGAAAGCGCGAGCATCACGCGCCGTTACCGCAGTTTGTGGCTTTGTAGGTAGCAAGAGTAGGCGACAAGCGACTTGAATTATTCAACCTATCTTTTTCAGCTTATGAAACATAAGGTTTGCCGAGAAGCTTTATCAACATTAGCTAAATCTCCTTGCTCAAATAAAACTTTGGTGGTATCAATGATGGGTTGTGTATTTTCAGCATGGAGGTCGGAGCCTGTTAAATCATGTGGCCATGCAGAGACTTACGAGTTTCCATGTTACGAAGGCACAGAAAGGCTTGACGAATGAAAAATCTTGAATTAAAACGGCCCTTTTCAAAAAAAAAAAAAGTGCACCGTTGGGATGAATCTACCAAAAAAAAAGGCTCATTGAGATTTTACGCATACGGATTTTTTTATTTTTTACGTTTTTCAGGTGCGTATTCTTCTGCCCGCCATAATTTCGGTTCCGTCTCTTGAGTCAAGTGACATTTTCGCGTCGGGGATCATTCTCCGCATATCATAGCAATTATACTCTGAATCGTGTTTTGATTATCCTTTATCTGCTATCCTTGATACAACTCACTAAATATTTCCAAGATGACCCTCTGCTAATAAGTTTTATACAATAGAGTGGAAATCATCGTGTTTCCCCTCCATTTGATTTTTGACCAGTTTATGTAATTCATCTGTAATACAGACTGCGAGCCTCAAATAATACTACTTTTAAATGCTGAGCTCAATTGCATTTATTAAATGGATTATCGGTGACCGCTGGAGTGAACACAAAACATGAAATTTGTGATTTCGAAAACCTGCAAGATATAAATTTGCTTATACCTTTCAACTCAGATAAGCGAATAAATTTTTGTGAATGAATCTTTACCAAGTCCAATTGAGACGACGAAATCTAATTGGTTTTCAGAACTTTCGCAAGCCATATTATTGCTCTTTCAAGTTAGGACAAAGACGTACCACCAGTGAAACTTCAGTCAGTAGCACATTTATTGCTCCAAGCAAATAATTGCACTCTGGTGTAAGAAATATTTCAAAGTATGTTTCTATGTAAAGTTCCGGACACAGTCGACTATAACACGATCACGTGAACAATCATTCGATAGGGACGAGTATACAGTTATACAAATATCTCGCGGTTGAAAAGGGTTCCATGTGAACATGATATAACGTCTATGTAGCAAATGAAAAAGATATTTAGACATAAAGGAATCCTCAAAACGAAAGTTTCTTCGTCTTTCAAGAACGAAAATTCAAAATATCGCAATATAAGGCAAGTTGTGTCACCTAAATACTTTCCTGAAACATAGTAGTAATACTGTGCAGTACAAATTCATTGACCCGTCTCCATGGTCTTTTGAATTCTGATGATCTCGAAGATAATGTCATTTCGGGAAAAGCTTGATCTTCAATATTGAATCAAAATTATCTTCAGTCACATCGTAAAGTAATTTGTGAAATAAAGTTCTGCTGGCTCGAGTCGGTCATCTGCGTATAAAAGTGACACGTGACCTTCCAATCCTTAATTTACACGCAGATCAAACCATCGACTTATTGTTAAGTACTTGATGAAGAGTGAAGATCGAGTGCCGATTTCTCTAACGTACACCAGCTAGAACCTGAAAGTCTTCTACTGAAGGCATATTATACTTCGGGCGTTTACGGCCATTCTCGACGGTGTTTCTTTTTTTCTACTCGAAAAATCAACGGAAAGTCTCCAACGCTGTGTTGTCAAAACCCAGATACTTTGGGTGACAAATCTGCAACAATTGATACATTGGCTCACAATCTAGCTCCGAACTGACCTTGAGTCCTGTCACAGTCCCAAGCAGGTTGCATTCACCATGACCGAGAAATATCAGCTAGATAACCCAAATGCCCATTATTTGGCAAATTTGTCTAATCTAAACTTGACAAATAACAACATCCAGTTGGGCCGCTTGCCTACATTAGGTGAGATTCTTTCTAACAAAACAAAATCACCAATAAGCTTATACAACTTCTACTTGTACATGAAGAATGTTGAGAACAACGCCGACTACTTGGATTTTTGGTTTGACCTTATCAACCATCTAAATTTGTGCAAACATTACGTGCAAGGCTTGCGAGAATCTCTTGTTCGACAGTCAGTTCACAGCAATAACTTCGGGAGCAATAATCCTTTTAATTCATCGCCAAATCACAACAGAGATTCTTTTCCTCTTTCTGAAAAGAGTAAATATAAATCCCTTTCGCTGTCTGTACTCTTGGAGCTCATTCTCAACGATCAGATTTTGGAGGACAACGATTCGAACAGGCTTTCTCAGTTTCTCCGAGGGGAAATCAATCTTGATACAGTTGACCCGAAGCTCAAAGAATTAATCGAGGCATACAATGCTGAAGAATCTATTGCACAACCTTCACCAACAATGGATAGGAATTCCTTCTATACATCGTCCGATCGGCAATTCTCTTCACAATCCCGGCTCTTAGATGAGCCGGTTGAATCCCCTCAAATTTCTCCCATCCAACAAGGTGATTTTCGACCCCCTGATGTACTATCCCAAAACGATCGAATTCGAAAGCCACGTCGCCACTCATCACTTAATCCTTCATTACTTGAAAACCTTATCAAAGATTCGCCGGTATCTAATCTGTTTATTTCCAGGCAAAATCTCAGGGAATCGTCCCATAACCTTCTTCTTAAGTATTTTGTGGAAGATTCGGAGAAGTCGCTAGAGATCTCACCACATCTTAACGATAAAATTGTCAAGGCAATTCAAATTGATGGAAGGGATGATCCCAGCGTTTTCGATGGCGTGAAGTTGTATGTGTTCGATCGTCTTGAAAATGAGCATCTTCCAAACTTTTTGAATTTCATTGCGATCAAAAACATCAACAGATCCGTCAATGCCAGAGTAATATTTGGCTTCTTTATGTCATTCATATCATTCTGGATAGCTTTCAGCTTGATATTTTTGGATGAAAAAAAAAGATATCGATGTGTCATCATTTTCACCTTTTTCTGTGGATTCTACGGTCTCATGACCTCCATTTACAGAATAGATCCACTTTTGGCTTTCAGTGCAAGAAGCGAATCATACATCCCTTCACACACATTCATCAGAGTTGAAGACACGTTCATTCATAAACTACTCATGAAAAGAGCTACGTGGGTGTTGTTCCTTGTGTTGTTGCTTACGGCTATTTTCAGTGTTCCGTTTTGTCTCGTGCCAGGCAAACACCTCTGATAAATATTTATTCATGAGTAATATTAGCAGACTAAATTTAGAGAACATGGCTTTACACACACTCTGAGCTTAGTCAAAGATATAAAAATAGCGTCAAACGATTTATTAATGGGGTCACCACAATGTAGTAAAGTACAGAGTAAGCTATGTAACAGAAAAGATTTAAGCGTCGTTCAAGAAAGCTTGTCTCTTCTCCTCAACTCTCTGCTGTCTTCTCTCTCTGGCAGCTCTGTTCTTAGATCTTCTAGCCTCGGCTTCCTCCTTCAAAGACTTCTCACGAGCAGCCTCAGCCTTGGCTTGAATGATGTGCTCAACCAAAGCTCTCTTGTGCTTGAAGGTGTTACCCTTAGCAGACAAGTACAAGCTGTGGTACAAAGACTTGTCAATCTTGCCAGCATCTCTGTACTTGGCCAACAATCTTCTCAAGACTCTCAATCTTCTCATCCAGACAACTTGGGAAGGCATACGGGCGTCCTTGGTACCCTTTCTCTTACCGTAACCCATGTGTCTACCGTTTCTCTTGGACTCGGCGTAAGCTCTAGCTCTAGATCTAGAGTGGATGGTGTCTGGCTTCTTCACGATGGTACCGTTGCTGTACAACTTTCTGATGGCAGCACGAGAGTTGGCACTGGCCAACTCAGTGGTCTCATTTGGGTCCAACCAAATCTTTCTCTTACCGACGCCGACGACGCTAGCGGCGAGTCTCTTTTGAGTTCTAAGATTAGCCCTGAAGCAAGGTTAGTATGAATTTGGCAGAGAAAATTTTTAGTGCGCGCAGTAAGGAGAGCGGAACTGATTCAAGGGGTTGTGATAGATAATGTCTACCTCCCAGTTTCGACGACCGATGGGTGTGGAAATATATCCGAAAATAATCCAGGATATCCCATAATGTGGGTGCATCAGCAAATTCACATTTAGATTACATATGTTGGCACGTTCGGTTCAGCATGGATACATACATTTTGCTCTGATATACAAGAAAAGAGAAGAGGGAAAATTTTCATCTCTTATGAGAATTGTGCGCAAAGTGGCGGGTCCATCTATCTGCAGGAAATGCACTGAAGTCTCACGGGGATCTACGAAACCCCAATTGTTGGTGTACTGGTGGAAACTGAGCGCGAGTCGGTAGCCAGAGCGCCAGGGGAAAAGCCCTTATCGTGTGCACGTGACGACTAGCGGCGGACTGCGCAACTGTGGCCAGACACAATTACTATTGATCATTATCAATTCATAGACTTTTCAAGAATCTCTGTACTTGGTTGATCACACTACTGGCAACTCCTAATGGTTTTGCTATCAAGGAGAAATACGACAGCGTAAACTACTACGCCAATTAATTGAACCTCTCAAATATCGTGAGAGTATGGGTCCTGTGTAGCGACATCCTTCCGGCTTATTAGCGCTGTTGCACTTTACTGCGTAGTATGGATGGGTCCTGTTGTAGCTCACTAATAGTTTTGGCATATTTGGTGAGACATATTATAATTCAACTATAACGTATTATGCCTTATTTTCACAATTCGCATATTTGCTGCCTTAGGAACTGTTTTCATTAGTTTTGGTTCAGATACTCTTCAGGCTCGGTCCTTATCCAATTTCCGAGACCTCAGTAATCTGCCACACACCTACTCACATTGCCTCTTTCTATTTCACTGGCGCTAGTAAAATATTGAAGTCCAATAGCAATTATTTTCAATGAGCCACTTTTTGCTGCCTCGCTGGGTCTTGTTTGGACTCCTGGTTGTTTGGTCTCCTTTTAACCCCCGGTCTGAGACTGTTTGCAATGCGGGGCAGTGAGACTGTCATCGGCCCAAGGCGCGCAAGCGATGAGATGCGGAAAAAACGCCCGTACTAGCATCTTCTCATCAAAGATGGCCAATTCCTTAAGATCCAAACCCAAATTGCGGGCAAAAAGTGTTAAAAGAAAAGGGGAATTCACCAAGTTTGTGGACGACAGAAATGCCCGTTTAGCTGAGAAGACAAGGTTGAACTTGCAGAAGCAGAACGAGGAAAAAATGGCGGAGGACACTCCTATAGAAGAGGCATCTGAGGACGCTGCCAGCAAAATCTCCAACACATCCGGCAGAAGTGCAGCCGCAAGAAAGAAGATGAAGGTCAAGAAGTCCAGAAACAAGAAGCTCAAGTTTTGAATGTATTTTTGTGGACTGTCTCATCTCAGCCGCACCCCAAGTTCAGGGGCTACTCGCAGCTTCAATAAACGTACGCTCGTCAAGGTAGTCGGCATTACCGTCTGAGGAATCTCTCGTCTTAACAGCATCTTCTTTCAGTTCCAATATCTCGATCATTCATTACAAAGTATAGTTAATTTTAAATAAAAGGCACGTCAAGGAAGTTGCCTGCGTCCATAGTAACACGTAGTTCTTGAACGCCAACCAAAAATCCAAGAGCAGGAGTAGCTATAATTCCTTATTGTGGACTGAACGCTCCTCATCACAAAATCGTATGCAATGAAGCATGCCCGAAGTTTCGTGCCACGGGTAATTGCACCTGCGTGCAGAGGCTGACTCTGTCCGCGATCTAGATAGCGATAAATTGGGCGGAATTTCTCGCACCCTCTTGTCTCCCCATCTATTTCTCCACAAACATCTACTCTAAATACCTAAAATGGACGGTAAAACTATCGGTGTACTCGGCGGTGGCCAGCTAGGCCGTATGTTGGTCGAGGCTGCTCACAGACTCAATATCAAGACGATTATCTTGGACCAACCGGGCGCCCCAGCAAAGCAGATTAATGCCTTGGATGAGCACGTTAATGGCTCTTTCACCGATCTCGACTCCATCACAAAACTCGCCAAAAAATGTGATGTTTTGACTGTCGAAATCGAGCACGTCGACGTTGACGCGTTGAAGGCCGTCTCGTCTTCTTTGAATATCCCAATCTACCCACTCCCGGAGACGATTCGTCTAATCCAGGATAAATACTCGCAAAAGCTTCATTTACAAGAACATGATGTCGGAGTTGTGGAGTCATTGAATGTGGAATCTAATACCGTTGAGGGCTTGGAGAAAATCGGTCTCGAGCTTGGCTTTCCGTTTATGTTGAAGGCCAGGACCTTGGCGTATGACGGCAGAGGCAATTTCGTTGTGAAATCCAAGGATACCATCCCGGAAGCTTTAGAATTTTTGCAAGACAGACCTTTGTACGCGGAAAAATGGTGTCCGTTTACCAAGGAGTTGGCTGTGATGGTGGTCAGAACCCTTGAGGGTGAGGTTTTCGCCTACCCAACTGTGGAGACTGTCCACCAAGACAACATTTGCCATTTGGTCTATGCACCTGCCAGAATCTCCGACACTTTGCAAAGAAAAGCATCTCTCTTGGCCCAGAACGCCGTGAAGTCTTTTCCTGGCTGTGGAATTTTTGGTGTCGAAATGTTTTTGTTGCCCAGCCATGAACTCTTGATCAACGAGATTGCACCTCGTCCTCACAACTCGGGTCACTACACCATCGATGCCTGTGTCACCAACCAGTTTGAGGCGCATGTTCGTGCCGTGAGTGGGTTGCCAATGCCAAAGGACTTTTCCAAATTGACTACTACGAACACCAACGCAATCATGTTGAATGTTTTGGGCGACAAATCCACAAAGAATGCAGAGTTGGCCATTTGCCGCCGAGCACTCGAGACCCCCAATGCCTCCGTGTACTTGTATGGCAAGGAAAGCAAGCCAAAGAGAAAAATGGGCCACATTAATGTCATTGGCTCGTCCATGGCCGAAGCCGAATCAAAGCTCAAGTACATAATGGGCGATGTGGATACATTGCCTGCAGCAGTTCAAGAGACCAAGGAGAAGCCTTTGGTATCGATAATAATGGGCTCGGACTCGGACTTGCCGGTAATGGCGGTCGGTGCTGACATTTTGAAAAAATTTGGTGTTCCATTCGAGTTGACAATCGTATCAGCTCACCGCACCCCACATCGGATGTCGAAATTTGCTATCGAAGCCGCATCTAGGGGCATTAAAGCCATCATTGCTGGAGCTGGAGGCGCTGCTCATTTACCAGGAATGGTAGCTGCAATGACTCCCTTGCCGGTTATCGGAGTTCCAGTCAAAGGATCTACCCTTGATGGTGTGGACTCCTTGCATTCCATTGTGCAGATGCCAAGGGGTATCCCGGTGGCAACTGTGGCCATCAACAACAGCACGAATGCTGCACTTTTGGCTATCCGTATATTGGGAGCCTACGATTACAAATGGTTGGAGGCCATGTCTCTGTACATGAACAACATGGAGGAAGAGGTCTTGGGAAAGGCTGAAAGACTTGAAGAAGTTGGCTACGAAAAGTATTAACAAATGAAAAAAAGGTTCGGTAGTAAGACTGTTTAGTTCAAGCTGGTAGTACTCACATAAACACTTGATTCTGTAATTTAACATCTGATTACCACAACCTCAATTAAATACAAAAAAAAAAAATTAGTTGATAAAATGTTTCAGTTTGAATAGTGAGATTTACAGTGCGCTGCCATTGTCCCAAAAGTGTGATAAGCAGTAGCATGTCTAATTCTGGGGGAGGTGTCTGTTATAGTAATTTCCCAGGAATTGTTGTTCATCTTGAGCAAAAAATCTGATCGGGTCTCCGTCTAAAGATGTTGTTAAAGGAGGGCTGGTGATCACAGAAGCCTGGTAGAGAGATTGCTGTTCAATGCCTGAAGAGAGCGACACCCCAGGAAACGAGATTTGTGAGATTCCTGTGGCTTCATGATGGCGTGTTAAGTCAGGAAAGTCATAGTTTTGGTTGCGCGAGAGAGGGTCTAAGGATGAAATGCTTGGATTGGGCTTATGAGGAAACAGGTGTATCGGTGAATTTGAATGTTGTGATGAGTTGTAGAAAGAGTTGGGAGGCCTGATTGAATAGTTTGAACTGATTGTTGTCATGCTTTCATATCCGAGAGTTGGCGGGAGGAATAACCTTGACGACGATGATACTGCCTCACTTATCTGGTCCACCTTGGAAAACTCCCAAAGTAAAACCGTTTTTATCTTGCTCTTGGGTAGGATGCTTGTGATTCGCACCGTGTTGTCGTATATGACTTGCTTGATGGTGATGCCTTTCAAGGCAGTATCGAGAGAAGTTGGCAATTCCAAAAGCTGCGAGAAGAAGCATTTCCAGAACTTCACGAGAAAAGGTTGATCCATGCTGGTCTCGAAGTCATCCTCATTGACTTTCAACACCTCGTCACCAAACGAATACACCGTTGTAAAACTTGAAAGGCTGTCGCAAGTTCCAGGAATGTCAATGTTGAAATTTGTTTTCAATCCCGCATCAATGGACTGGACGTTGGCAAAGTGCAGCGGACTCAAAACTTTAACCATATTGTGAATGATAGACACGTTCGTGTTAGAGAATTCTTCTAGACCAGGAAATCTAGACGCAATGTTTGCGTTCTCCTTCAAGCTTAAAAATTTCATCGGAGTTTCCTCTTGCCTGGTCAATGGAATTGGGGTTGATCCGTAGGCGCCAGTATCAATAGTAAAGCTTATATTTCTTACGCTGATGAACAGCAGGGGCAGCTTTTTCCGTTTCGGGGGGATAGTAAGTTGTTCTGCTGAACGGCGTCGGAGCAGGCCACCGGAGCCCAGAAGCTCAGCATTGCCTGTGGAGTTGAGTCCGAGCGATTTGTTGATATTAATTTTCGAGAAAACTTCCTCGAACCGCTTCATGTTCTGTTCAGCTTCGGCGGCACTGCTGAATTCCGGGCCATCATTAATGAGTCGAATGAGCTTTCCCTTCAGCTTCATGTTTTTCACGACCTGAATATGACTGGAGACCTGCTTCCTGGAACGGAACTTCCCCGTTTTGGCAGATATGAAGTCAGCAATGAGTTCATTTCGGCCACAGCATTTTCCGCCAATCTTGATCTTTGTAAGCCCGCATTTCGGCACAATTGCAAGTGCCTCTTCGAAGGCAGCTTCAACATCGCTCGACCAGATGTCATCGTGTGAAGGACAAGCCAATTTACTCATCCTAGGCTCGCTGGGTCTTCTATCAGCTGAGTCGAGAGAGCAGTTGGCAGAATCAAATTCAGTGGGCTTTTGGTCATCGGTGCATGGCAGGTTCGTGCTTGAGACAGTGCCAGCAGGACTGCGCAAGTCATCTGGCGAATCAAATACAAACCGAGATGAATCGCTCCTATTCGAAGAAAGAGGGGTAGCTTCCTGAAGCAGGCTTCTGCTTTCATGAACGCGGTACAAGGTCTTCCCTTGTGGGTCCACAGCCACATCGACAATCATAGGGTGGCTTCGGGCGCGACTCGGCTTTGCTCTGGCAGTGGACATTGCAAGTACGTATGTGTGCTTTTTTGTGTCTGGATATAATGTTCTCCCGAGATGGGTTCCTGAAAAGTGAAAGGTTTTTGAATTCTTGAAGAATGTTGTGGGATGTTTGGCAGGGTATGCGAGTGGAAAATCAAAGTTGACAGTCAAAAACGTAAAACTGACTCGTCAAAGCATAAAAGGGGCAATAATCGTGTATAGAACAAAATAATCAATTAGCTGCCCGATTGCAACGCTGTGATCTGTTTTGAGGGGAGAGCGGAGATAAAAACACGTCGTCAAGCGACACGGTTGAGCCGCAGTAAGTCTCTCAAAATAGGCGATCGAGGCCCTAAGTAGCACCAGAGGCTATGTAGATGCAGGTCGATGCTGCTTAATCGGCAGAGAATAGGGACCTTTTGTAGAAAAGGAAAGTGGAAGGGCTGCAACGAAAAATGTGAAACGTCGTATGTCCAACCAGGGAAGGGGGGAGGGCGAAAATGAATACTTTCTTCTATTGCAGGGTACAACTCGCTAACTCGCTGATCACTTGAAAACAGGCAATCTGCTCCACCTTAAAAACACTTAAGCGTTACAGCAGGGTTTACACTTCAGAAGATGGGGATGCACAGCTTAAATGTATCGGGCCCGGTTAGTACGAGTCCGTTGCTCTTAAAAAACGCGAAGGAACGAGAACCATGCATCTTCTGATGAAATGACCTTATTGATGCAAGAATTGCCCGATAGAGGTTCAATGGGGCAATCGTGAACAAACGCCAGTGTGGTACCTGCGCATATCCTGTATCGGGTAATATGCATCATACATGACTATGGCAACATGCATGGAGAGTAACTCTTTCGGTCGAGTAAAATTCAGAACGACGAGGCGGAGGGCTAAAAAGGGGTACATGCTTGAAGGTTCATCATTCTCTGTTGGTGGATTGAGATACTTTTTCCAAGATACCAGCAATCAGAACCATGAGAAGTATGCTT